ACTTTTTAGTAAATTATACGTTTGTATGTGTTTGTTGGAAAATGACCAATTCCTAAATTTGCAGCCAGGCAAGAAATATGATTCTTGAGATTCCTACATGTCAGGGCCCGAGGTACGGTGGGGATCGGGAGCCTCGAGCTCTCCCCCCCCCCCCCCCACACTTTGTTTGAAAAAGTATATTAAAGAGAAATAAAATAGAATGAGAGCAAGAAAGAAAGAATAGTTAACTGCCAGTGTTAACAAATAATGAGGCATCAAAATATGCTCATCTGACCGTGATTAAATGCCTAAAACTCCTAAGCTTCCGTGGGCTCTGCCCCCTGGATCCCACCAAGGGCCCTACGGCGGGCCCTTAGATGCTCATCTGACGGTAATTTAATTCCTAAAGCCCCTGATTTTGGGGGGCTCCGCCCCCTGGACCCAACGCCAAATAGTTACCTGCCAGTGTCACGAAATAATAAGGTATACACAAAAAATATGCTCATATGACCTTAATTAAACGCCTAAAACCTCTGAGCTTCCGGGGCCGGCTTCGCCGCCGCCCCAGACAAGGATTAACAATCGAGAACGGTACAGCGAATCGTCTTTTTTCTCTTATAATGTTATGAAAAGTGAAGCTTCCGCGCTTTGCGCGGGAGGGGAACCTAAATTCAGACAAGGATTCAGAGGCGAGAACGGTTATACCAATCTTTTATGATTTAATAAAACGTAAAAGCTTCCGCGCTTCGCGCGGGATCGAGGGGGGGGGGGGGAACTTAATTCCGACGAGGATTATTTTCGAGAGCGGTACAACGAATCGTCTTCTTTCTCTAATGATTTAATGAAAATTAAAAGCTTCCGCGCTTCGCGCGGGAGGGGGGAACCTGAATTCAGACGAGGATTAAGAGTCGAGAACTGAACAGCAAATCGTCTTTTTTCTCTCATAATCTTATGAAACATTAAAGCTTGAGCGCTTCGCGCGGGAGGGGGAGGGGAGGGGACCTGAATTCAGACGAGGATTAAGAGTCGAGAACGGTACAACGAATCGCCTTCTTTCTTCAATAGTTTAATGAAACGTCAAAGCTTCCGCGAATCGCGCAGGAGGGGGAGGGGGTAAACTAAATTCAGACGAGGATTAAGAGTCGAGAACTGTACAACGAATCGTCTTGTTTCTCTAATGATTTAATGAAACATAAAAGCTTCAGCGCTTCGCGCGGGAGGGGGGAGAATCGAAATTCAGACGAGGATTAAGAGTCGAGAACTGTTCAGCAAATCGTCTTCTTTCTCTCATAATCTTATGAAACTTAAAAGCTTCCGCGCTTCGCGCGAGAGGGGGGGGGGGGACCTGAATTCAGACGAGGATTAAGAGTCGAGAACTGTACAGCGAATCGTCTTCTTTCTCTAATAATTTAATGAAACGTAAAAGCTTCCGCGTTTCGCGCGGAGGGGGGGGGGAGGGAACTGAATTCAGACGAGGATTAAGATTCGAGAACGGTACAACGAATTGCCTTCTTTCATATAGTTTAATGAAACGTCAAAGCTTCCGCGCTTCGCGCAGGAGGGGGAGAGGGAGGGGGGAACTGAATCTAGACAAGGATTAAGAGTCGAGAACGGTACAACGAATCGTCTTCTTTCTCTAATGATTTAATGAATCGTAAAAGCTTCCGCGCTTCGCGCGGGAGGGGGGGGGGAGAATCTAAATTCAGACGAGGATTATTTTCGAAAACGGTACAACGAATTGTCTTTTTTCTCTAATGATTTAAGGAAACTTAAAAGCTTCCGCGCTTCGCGCGGGAGGGGGGAGAATCTAAATTCAGACGAGGATTATTTTCGAAAACGGTACAACGAATCGTTTTTTTCTCTAATGATTTAAGGAAACTTAAAAGGGGGGAACCTGAATTCAGACGAGAATTTAGAGTCGAGAACTCTACAACGAATCGTCTTCTTTCTCTAATAATTTAATAAATCCTAAAATTTTCCGCGCGTCGCGCGAGAGGGGAAAAACTAAATTCAGACGAGAATTATTTTCGAGAACTGTACAACGAATCGTTTTGTTTCTCTAATGATTTAATGAAACTTAAAAGCTTCCGCGCTTCGCACGGGAGGGTTGGGAGAATCTAAATTCAGACGAGGATTATTTTCGAAAACGGTACAACGAATCGTTTTGTTTCTCTAATGATTTAATGAAACTTAAAAGCTTCCGCGCTTCGCGCGATAGGGGGGGGGGGAACATGAATTCAGACGAGAATTTAGAGTTGAGAACTCTACAACGAATGGTTCTCTTTCTCTAATAATTTAATCCTAAAATTTTCCGCGCTTCGCGCGAGAGGGCAAAAACTAAATTCAGACGAGATTTATTTTCGAGAACGGTACAACGAACCGTCTTCTTTTTCTAATAATTAAATGAAACGTCAAAGCTTCCGCGTTTCGCGGAGGAGGGAGGGGGAAATTCGCCCCTCCCTGCACCGACCCCCCCCCCCCCGCATCACGTCACTGTTGGTCACCATTACGTACCAATATTTGGCTCGCATAATTTCAAATTTGGGCCCCCCCCCCTAAGAAATCCTGGATCCGCGCCTGAGTATGATGAGGATATTTGGGAATCTCGTTGCCCGGAATGATGTCGTTCTTAATTGTTGTAAGCGAGTGCAGAGAACACGCATGATGAAAATGTAATTTCAATTTTTATAAAATATATTCGGGCACCTATTATATAGCCGTCAAATAAAATGATATTCGGGCACCTCGTTGCTAGAATATGGAGGTATTCAGAAACTGTCTTCACTGCCTGAAATCATTTTGTTTAATGCGAGTTATCGAAGCGAGCGAGGAAGTAATATCGGCCCTTTTTAAAAACTCAAAATGCTATTTCCTCATGAAATTGCATAATTGGCGGCTAATCTAATAAATTTTCTAAATTGTTGATGTAACTAAACTTTCTCTAAATAGCGGCGCCCGCCTTACAAATGTTTTGCGACACCCTGGTTGAAAAACGTTGATATAATGAACAAATTACAATTACTCCTTGATACGGTCTGAATAAACGAGAAGGGAGATGAGAGGCCCCAAGAAAGAGAAAAAATATGTTTAAAAGAGAACACAAATAAAGGTAGAGAGAAATAAAAGACATTTTGACAGAGACGTGCATTACTATAGGCCTACACGTACTCTCAGGCGCGTACGCAGGGGGGGGGGGTGGGTTGGGTTAAACCCCCCCCCCCCTCGAGTTTTTTTATGTGTATGTTTTTTTTTTATGTTGTTTTGGAAAACCCTCCCCTTTTGAATTTTTTTTTATTTTTTATTTTTTTAAATAAATAATAAAAAATAAAAAAATAATAAAAAATTTAAAAAATTGCCAATAGGTGACCTTACCCCCCCCCAAAAAAAAGGTGTCCTCTTACCCCCCCCCCCCCCCCCCCGCTTATTCAGCGGCTGGCTGAATCGTTGCGAAATTTTGGGCCCGATTTGAAAACCCTCCCCTTGAAACTGCGTACGCCACTGCGTACTCTTGAAGAGAGAAGAGAAAAGAGAGGAGCTAGGAATAGCAGAAAAATGTGGGTAAAAACAAGGCTGGGAAGAGTAGAAAATGAAAGCCAATCAGAAAAAAAAATCAGACTGAGTGAAAGAAGCTCAACTTGCAGATCCGTGGCGAGCTAGCCCTAGCACGTGCCCCCCCCCCTCCCCCATGGCGGATTCTCCCCTGGCCCTAAAAAATAGGTTTAAAAACCAAAAAGAAGACGGCCCCTCCCCCTACTGGCAAAAAAGGGGCGGGGTGTTGAGTAAACGAAATAGAGCTCCTTAACCCCCCCCCCCCCCCTCCACTCCCGCTTATTCGGCCGCTCGGCTGGGTCGTGAGTCGCCGCTAAATATTTTCTCACGAACTTAGTTGGGCCCCCTCCCTCGCCGCCCGGCTAGATCCGCCGCTGTCCCCCCCCCCCCCCTCCCTCCCCGGCCACGGCAAAAATTCCTATGGAAATACTATAGAGAGGCCTACTTAATAATCGGCCTACATGAGACCAGTATGTTGTTTTGGGGTGATTTCTTTGTTTTGAAATTTTGATTACTTTGTTTTTGTTTTGTTTTAATGATTTTTTAATGTGATTTATTCTCTTAATGTGGCCCGTTGATTGGTCGAGTATAGTAGCCTATAGCTTATGCCACAAGATTACAAGATCATAATGTTAGGCTTTTTCCTCACCGTGAACCATGCAATTTCAAGCTGATAAATACAGTTCAGTGTGTGACACATAGCTCCCGACCCCCCCCCCCCCCCCCACCCCCACTGGCGCGGCGCGCCCTGCATCCTCTTTGAATAGATTTGCGAGGGGATTTCCCCAAATATTCTGCGAGCGCGCTTTAGAATGGTCAAACGATGATCATGATGATGATTAGTAGATGATCTTCATAGCTAGGCATATATTTTTAGGCCCTTATCAATTTGTCGCGTTTAGGAATTTGGTGCAATTTCGCCAATATGAAATAAAATGAAAGACATTGAAGATCGCTACTCTGAATATTAGCCGATGGACCCTCCCATTTTGCTCACAAGCCGTTCTTTGCTTCTTCTTTTTTTCCTGTTTCAACTTTAGCGCATGATGACATGATGGTGATTCTGATTATGATGATGAGTGACAGCCACTATACTACTACAGTACTATACTAGCTACTACTATTGAATAGTTGTATTGAAATTATTTTCTTCTTTTTTTTTAGTCACTTCAAGGTACATTGATATATTTGACAAATGATTCACACACGAGTGAATAATGCCAAATAATGATAATGATAATGATAATATTTAAATAATAATAAAATACTGATAATAATAATATTAATATTAATCATGATAATAATAATGGTGATGGTGATGATATTGATATTAACAATTATAATAAAACTATGATAATTTTGTAAGTAACTTTTGAGAAATAATTTTCAATCATATGCCTCAAGAGGAATACCGACTCTTTATAGATCCGAAATCATTGAAGGCCGATATTGTGTAGATATTCGATGTGTAGTCTATGCAATATAATGAAAATGTACGAGGATAATTAGAAATGGCTCTCTCTAACAATGCGAGAGTCCTTTGGAGCACAGGAAAAGTTGACGATCTGATTGCTCATTTTAAAGCAAACCCATGTTTGTATGACAGGAAAACTAGAGCCTATAATGATAAGGCTTTACGACTTGAAGCTTTTAGAACGATCGCCGATGAAATGCAAATTTCATGTGAGTATGATACGGTCAGCTTCGAGAAACCAGGGAGAAACGAACTCCTTCATTGCCCGTGCATATCGCATGGGGGATCGAGAACACAATAGTTTGGAGGACATGACTAGCGACTGCTGCACAGCACTGAGCTGAGCTAGCTGAACTGAGCTACTCTGAGCTACTCTATAATCATGATAATGTCTTAATGACTGCTATGTTTTTTTTTTGTTTTTTTTTGTTGTAATGGCAATCAGTCAATTGGGTGCGTGCGTGAAGTTAGCGACTGTAATCTCAGATCCTCATTAAATTCATGCAAATAATTCACATGTCACGTCTCTAGACCCTATGATTAAATTGACGATCATTTATACGGTCGCTTACTTCATGCAGGCTTGCAATTGCGCACGTGCCTGAAACCCACCATCGGTATGCACTTGTATTGTGCAGAGGTTTGCCGTGAAACCTGTGAGAAAATGTATAGATCTACTAATGTATTCTTTTTTAATGATAAATACTCCAAAAAAGACAAGAAAATTGACACGAAACAGATTGATAAGAAAGATAACAATTTTCTGGGTATGTTAGTAAGGTATTTCCATGCCGGTGTCACAGGTCCAAAGTATGGTCACAGTTGCGAACAAGAGCCAAGAAGTCAAGCTGCATGTCATGTGCGCCTTTCATAAAAGATATTCATTTTAAATTGCATTCATGAAAATGTGTTAATGAAATGTATCAATGAAACAGGAAATTTTGTTTGACCTTGATTTGTATTACTACTTGTCTAGAATTGTCACTCATGGACAAAGTCATTCACTTCATAATGCTCATACTTCTACTAGCATCATAGTAAGTCAGACTCATACTCAGTCATAGACAGTCGTAGTCTAGGCTCGAAACATAATCATCCCCAAACTAAGTAGATATTTCAGTATATCTGGATAATCTATTTTTTAAAACTAGTCTACATTTAGTACTCTAAGTGACTAGACTAGATTTTCTTTTCTCTTTCCTCATCTAAGGACTATGAGCATGACTCACCCTTGAATTGTAGTGCTAATCTAATTCTACGCTTCAAGTTCAGTAGACTCGAGAATACCCAGAGGACAAAAATTATAGTTGGTACAAGAACAAGGCTATCATATTCTAAATTTCCTAGTACATACGACTGCCATAATCTAACATTCCACTAAAGAAACTCAATTGTTTCATTTGATATTAAAGTTGATCTCATGTTGAGTGTACTTGTTTTATTTAATTTCAAATATATGTTTTTACAGACGATGATGTATACAGGAAGATTGTCAACCTGCGCTCCCAGTTCAGGCGAGAAAAGCATCGTGAAGTCAAGTTTGCAAGCGAGGGAAATGCACAGGATGCAGCCTCTCAAATCAAATGGATACACTACAAACAACTCAAGTTTCTGGATGATTTTGTGACTCTGAGAAACCCTAGGACTGACTGCGTGCAATACAGCCCAACAGTAATTTAATTTATTTTGTTATGTTTTGTTTTGTTTTATAGTTTTAGAAATTGGAACATTATGTACAAATAAAATGGGAGAAGGAATTAGTAAAGTATTCCCCCATTTATTTGTCTGAAATAAACATAAAAGTTGATGGCATTAGGATTAAATCATTACGTCTGAAAGTTCCCCTGATCCTATCAAGAGTGGTAAATTTTCAAACCAAAATCAGAAAAATTACCATGAAGTGACTACAAAATTCTTTCAAACTGAATCTAAGACACCTGACAGGCAGAAATGTGAAAGAAGTTATTCAAGCCATGTAGTGGAAGAACATCAAGAATTGATTGTGAAGAAAACAAATGTTGAATATAAGAATACTCATTAGTCAATGCCAAAACGAAAACTGTCTGAAGATTTCTCTTGGTCTCTCTCTCTGAAAAAAAGAGAGTTACCCTGTTGAAACCTTAGCATTTTCAATGTTATGATAGTGTACTATTAGTGATGGAAAGTGATCTCATCTCTAAATTCTCTGTATTCTGATTTTGAAGAAAAACTGGCAAATGGCATTATTTTTCTTATATTTAATGTTTTGTATATAGTAATTGGGCAATATCTCTTGCCCCCTGATTTGATGATTGATTTTTATGCACAGTGTATTCAGCTGATGTATGTATTATAAACCGTGGCTCACAGCCATGTAAAAATAGACTTGGGTCTGACTGTGATTTAAACAATGTTATTTTTGGTACATGATGATGGAACGGTACCCACTACCCAATTATAATGCACACTGGTTTAGTGACCAGGAATCATTTGCCTCATAAAATGTACATGCCATTATGAAATGACACTGTGGTAGCATCTATTTTTAATTATAATTTTTTAATCTTTATTCTCCTTTTCTATTTAGAATGGATTCGGTGACTTTGATGAAAGCTTTGAAGACGATGTGGAGTATGATGGCCTTGATGTGGATGAATACAAAGTAGGGCTAGACGACAATACAAACGAAAGAACGATAGATTTAACTGCCGGCGAAAGTCCTCAGCATGAGCTGCATAATGCACATACCAACAACTATGATTTCCATAGACAGTCTCCAATGCAAGAAAGAGGCGCTAAGAGAGTGCGACAAGATTTTAACGCTCCGCATCAGGAATTGTCTGAAAGACGGCAATTTCCAAACTCCACTGCACCTGAGAGACATCAGCATCAAGTACTTGAGAACACACACTCTTCAGGCAGAGAGTGCATCGACCCCTCACAGAGTGCAGTGATGCAGAGAGCCTCATCACATATCCAAAAGGCACTGTCCTGCTTTGAGAAGGCAGGAGGGAACACTAGATACTGCAGAAGGTGTGATGGTGATGACGATGATGACATGATCTTTGCAAAGTATATTGCCACTGAGCTGAGACAACTACCAAGCGGTGATACTAAGAGACTGGTAAAGCATCAAATTCAGAATCTCATATATGGAGCACACTGCAAACCACACACACTACAATCATCATAGGTTACTCAGTCTTACTCTCAAGTGAAATGTTGTCTTTTTATGTAAATGAGTTTTATTCTTGTCCAAATGATGATTTGTAATCCACGATAGTTTTTCACTTTGTAACAAAATTAGGACCATACATGGGTATGTGTCAGTAATCAAATCAGAACACATCTGCAATTCTATGCTTTTGTGCATTGCGCATGCCATTCCACACAGCTTCTACAGTTTATCAATCAAGACTGAATTACAAAAGGTGTTCAGGTATTGCATCAAAGTTCTTTTAGGTAATGTGTTATAATTTGATTATTGATTAACACATATTTAGCTTTGACAATTAAAAATGTTTTAAATTTAGTAGAAATACATGTAAATGTGTATTTATCACCTTCAGGCTTCAGCTTTACAAACTTCAGTTTCATATGAGTTCTTACTTCTGAGTCATTCATTGATGAAGGAGAGTCAAATTTCTTTTTTTACCTAGTGTTTAAAGTGGCAAGGAATATTCTTTCAAATGCATGTATTTCAGAAACTGTTTTATTGGAATAGAGCAACATTTCAGTTAACTGTAATATGTTTGGATTCTTTGGAATGTAATGTACATGTATTATGTATATAAGTACAATCATGTAACATATTATTCATTAGAGAATTGATAGGATGTCACCAAGAGCCCTTCGACAATCCATTAATTTAAAGTCGAAGATACACCATTACTTATTATTGTTGTCCAAAGTTAATGTGGTATGATTTATTTTTATGATAGCACGGTTCTTTGTGCTGTATTTTCTCTGATATATATTAGATACCAAAGAAAAGATAAAGAAAGATTTTGCACTTAAAATGTACATGTTAATCCAATGAATGCTACACCAGCAATGGAAGTTGACCATGACCATAAATAAATATATGCCTTGAACAAATAGTAAAAGAATGTTAAATACATGTAGGCTGAGATTGCATACTTTCATGAACACTGCTAAATAGAAAAAGTAAAAGCAGTAACTGTGCAGAAATTATTTTAAAACCAATGTCCCGTGCTGCTATTTGTTCATGCTGGTCATGAATTCTTTTCAACATATTTCATTGAACATTGTGATTAAAATGATATTAACAAACTAGGCCAGTGAACTACTCAAGTTTTTACATTTTTGTTACATTTTACAGTTTTAAAATCTGTTGTTACTTGTTACCTTTGTATCTATTTGAAAATTGTAGAGAATTTAGATTATATGGGAAGTGAATGAGTAATGTCTTGATGTTCAAAATACATGTAGATATACAAAATAAGTAACGCTGCACCATCGACCTTTGATAGGAAGCCGCCGCCTCCTCTCCTTTTTGTTTTTACTACATGTACATGTAGGCATATTTGTTGCATGTTAGTTGTGTGAAGAGATGGTTTGGGGGTTTTGTTATATATTTTTATAACATTGATGTGTATATTTTGAATTTCTGATACATGTACAGTCAAAAAACAGGAAATTCATGCAATAATTATGTTTATGATTGGTGAGTGATGTCGATGTGATGGTTTTATTTAATTGACTGTAATAATGTAATGTGACAGTAAATAAAGGTAATATATGTACAATCTAAAACCATTATTGTAAAATCTAGCATTCCTTTAGGCATATGTGTTTTAAATTTGTTGAAATTTAACACCACAATCATATATATATATATTACTGGAACCTCCCACTTAATCATTTCCCAAAACCAACAAGACACCACCAAAGGTCCACAAGACCATGGTTTGTGTTAGGTCCATGGCTAGACTGAAGGTCAACTTTGCATTTGGAAGATTCACTTGTCTGACTTATGATTCACAAGAAGGTTTAGTGCAATTTTGCTGTATGGGCCTTCACTTTCTCAGAATTTTTTGTTCGAGGATTAAAAAAACAAAAAACTTTTGACAAATTTCCTTTAAAGTTGTTGTTTCAGTTCATTGAATGTAATGTTTATAAATTGCGAAAAGCAGAAAAATCCGACAATCCAATCAAAACAGGTTTGAGCAAAATCTGATAACTATTAATAAGAAAGTTATGAAATTTTGAAAAAGTATGTAAAACCATGGAACAATAGAAATCACTACACAAGTTGCCAATTTGGTTATCAGTTTGTGACGTCATATCCTCACTATTTATCAATTGCTTTATATATTCTAATCCCATTACTATCCCTTTCTATCCCCCAAAACTTGGATTCCCCATGCCTTTGCCCAGGTTATATGATTTGTATCATATTGCGTACATGACATTTTACAAAATCTTTTATGAACTTTGAAGAATTTATACTATTTTGTGAATATTGTATATTCATAATTATTGATTTTTATATAAATAGTTTATCAAAATACACATTTTTGAAGATTTAACTGAAGAAAAAAATACTCTATATTAGTGCATCCACACAAAAACATATTACTATCAATCTAACTTGGGTGCTGCATGGTGTGAAGAAACAAGATTCTTAGGGGGAAAATAGGGAATTTATATTATCAATATAAAGAAAACAATTAGTGAGGCAATGACGTCACAGACTCATGAGTGAGTTGCCAATTTGTCTTGTGCTTTTGAAAGTTTTTCATGTCATCAAAAATTCATGACTTAAATTCATAACTTTCTTATTAGTTATCAGATTTTGCTCAAACCTTTTTTGATTAGTTCGTCTGATTTTTCTGCTTCTATTGAGAGTAAGTTATTTTTGGAGTGGACTTGTTTTGTGTTCAATCCCACCAGAAAAAAAATAATTCCAAATTGTAGCTATAGGCTGCCAATCATGGAGGGGAGGGCTAAGGTGCTCCCACCCATTATCCCTCTGTTTATTTGCCAAGTGAAGAAATGGGGGCGGGGGGGGGGGGGGGAAGAACGGACCGATTCCCTAAAATGATTGAAAGCAAGATTAGGTAAAGACGACATACATGTATTACATCTTCAGATAAACTGGCATTGATATCTCTTATGTTCCTCCATTATATTTTAGTAAGCCTCTTTATTTCACTTTGCAATGATGTGCCAATCCTTATAACTAAATGGTTGTAGATCCGAAGCGACAGCCTTGAAATGCGACCAATATTAGAAGGTCTTGGGTTGATAAAGCGATTTTCTCCCGATGCGATCTTTTTCCGATGCCGTTTTTTACTTGTTCTTTTCTTTATTGAGTACATCATAACCTTGTCATTTAAACCTGCTCTTTTATGTTATTCATTAATTATCAGTCAGCTTATTTTTCCGCTTTCAACCCGATTGTGAATTGGATTTTTAATCGAGCGCAGGAAGTGCCAAATTTCCTCAATTTTGTTTAATATTCCACAACGACAATATGAGGTTATTTTGTAGTATATTGTAGGAATGTAGGACAACCTTACTATTCATGGCAACCTGTACCCAATACAAATTAATGATTCATGGTCCAAAAATCAAAACAAGACTCGTTAAAATGCGCTAATTTTTTTACTGAGAAAGGGAATCATTTTTCAGAAAAACGCATCTCCGACAACTACACATTTTCCCTACATTTTCAAGGATCCCACCTCGTTTCAATTTAATGGCCATATTGCCAGTGGAGATATTAAGCAGGAATTATAAACATGATAACAAATAGAATGATGATAAGATAGTGTTGTGAGGGATATCCTTAGTTTACAACGCCTGCCCCCTTTTTTTTTATCGGTGTTGCGTTTAAATCGAAAATATTTTTGGTAGGGTTTTGTTGGTGTCAAATTAAAGAATGGACACAACAACAAGGTTGATGGGAGAGGGAATCGAAGGGTACGAGAAGTGTCCTAGAGAGAGAAGAGAAGGAAAAGAAGGGAAAGGGAAAGAGGAGAGAAAGGGGAAAAAAGAAGAGGAAGAAGAAATGAAAAGAAGGAAGTAGGAGATCGGGGGGGGGCAAAAGGCCCTTGCCCCCCCCCCCCCCCGTCCGCGCTAAAAGAAAAAAGAGAGAAGAAAGGAAAAGAGCTAAAGGGGAACAAAAAAGAGGAAGAAGAAAAGAAAAGGGAGATGGGAAGGGGAGATCAGTTGCGGTTAATCCCGCCAACAATGTGTGAAGCGGGGTGGGGTCCAAAATGACCTTGCCCCCCCCCCCCAGCAAACCTAAAAGAGAGAGAAGGAAGGAAAGGGAAAGAGGAGAGAAAGGGGAAGAAAAAAAAAGAATTAAGGGAGGTAAGGGATCAGTTGGGGGGGGGCACTGGCGTACTGATAGGGGAGGGGCGGGGGGGGGGCTTTGGGGAAATAAAATTCAAACGTGGTTTATATCTAATTCCATAACGGTGGTTTACAACTAATGCTGAAATGACATGATTTTCCGAGATTTTTCCTCACTTTTAAGTAAATTATACTTTTTTTTATGCGTTTGTTGGAAAATGACAAATTATTTACAGCCAGGCAAGAAAATGCTTCTTGAGATGCCTTCATGTCAGGGCCCGCGGAACGGCGGGGATCGTGATCCTCGAGCCTCCCCCCCCCCCCCCCACTTTTTTGAAAAAGTATATTAAAGAGAAATAGAAAGAAAGAGAGCAAGAAAGAAAAAAACTGCCAGTGTCACATTATAATGAGGTATCAAAATATGCTCATCTGACCATGATTAAATGCCTAAAACCCTGAGGGCTCTGCCCCCCTGGATTCCACCTATGGCCCTAAGGCGGACCTTTAGCTGCTCATCTGACGGTAATTTAATGCCTAAAACCCCTGATTTCTGGGGGCTCTGCCCCCTGGACTCCACGCCAAATAGTGTCCTGCCAGTGTCACAAAATAATAAGGTATCAAAAAATGCTCATCTGACCATAATTAAACGCCTAAAACCCCTGAGCTTCGGGGCTTTGCCCTATTGAACCCAACCAAGAGCCCTTAGGCGGGCCCCTTGATACTCATCTGACCATAATTGAGTGCCTACAACCCTTGAGCTTCCGGAGGGGGAAAACTAAATTCAGACGAAGAATATTTTCGAGAGCGGTACAACGAATCGTCTTCTTTCTAAAATTAATTTAATAAAACGTCGAAGCTCCCGCGCTTAGCGCGGGAGGGGGGGGGGAGGAAAACTGAATTTATACGAAGATTAAGAGTCGATAACGACACAACGAATCGTCTTCTTTCTTTAATGATTTAATGAAATGTAAAAGCTTCCGCGCTTCGCGCGGGAGGGGGGGGGGGAATATAATTCAGACGAGGATTATTTCTGGGAACGGTACAACGAATCATCTTCTTTCTCTAATAATTTATTGAAATATCAAAGCTATCGCGCTTCGCGGAGGAGGGAGGGGGAAACTCGATCGCCCCCCTGCACCCACCCCCCCCCCCCCAATTACGTCACTGCTGGTCACCATTACGTACCAATATTTGGCTCGCATAATTTCAAATATGGGCCCCCCCCCCCCCTAAGAAATCCTGGATCCGCGCCTGGTGCATGTTGCTCTCTCCTTAAAAGGTAGGGATAATTATTGACTACCAATAGCTTTTCAAACCTCGCTATTTTGTAAGCTCGGAGATCCTCTCTCCCTTGCCAAGTTGATTGAGTATTAACACAGGCGTAGCCAGGATTTTTTAATGGGGGGGGGGGGGCAGACGTGATGGATCGACTATGCAGACAACAAATCTTCTTTGCCAAGGAGGGTGTTTGACCCAGTGGCGGTATATAGTGAGCACATTTCTTTTTCTTTTTGCCCTCGAAATGGTTAAAAATTTGCACTCCCCCCCCCCCCTTGAGCGTCAGGGGGGGGGGGGGGGGCCTATCCCCCCCCAAAAGGTCAAAATCACGTGTTTTTATACGGTTTTTCCCAGGGGGGCCGGGCCCCCGGTCCCCCCCCCCTGGATCCGCCACTGCTTCTCGTACCTGAAAAGAGGCACTATTATAGAGATTAAAAAGGGGATATTTTTGTTGGAAATGGGACCTATGTGTAGGGATTTTTTGTGTGTGAAAAAGAGACCCGGTAGAGCGGCACACCCCGCATGCATATGTGAGTACCCCCCCCCCCCCCCCCCCCCCCCCCGGATGCAGTGAGGAACATCGCTTGGTTGCGTACTAGTCTCCGAATGCCATGTTATGTCCCTCACGTTCATGACATGACATCTCCCCCCCCCCCAGTGGCGTACCTGGGGTACTCCGTCAGGGGGGGGCAAGCGACCGAAAAAAAAAAAAAAGCGATGCTAATTTTCACTTCTGGCGAGCGAGCGAGCGAGCAAAAAAAAATCTTGAAGTAACGTTTGGTATATAAACTGGTATTGTTGCAAGTTGGGGGTGGGAACATTCAGTTGTTAGCGACGTTAATTTCATTTTTTTGCAAACTAGTGTAGCGAGCAAGAAAAAAATCACTTCTTTTTTTAATAATTGCCACTTAAACTTGGTTCAATTGTCCCATGCACGGCGCGGGAACAATATTGTGTTTAGGGTGATTTTATACCCATTTTAGCTAGCGAGCGAAAATACATCTTTCTCTCAATGAATTGCTATATAAAATTTGTTTCATTGTTGCAGGTAGGGGGCGGGCACAATCGTGTTTAAGGCAATGTCAATCCCATTTTGGCGGGCAGGCAACCCCCTACATTTCTCTTTTTAATGATATTGTAGCAGGTTAGTGGTGGGCACATAATTCCACGAGCTAGCGAGCGTATAGCGAGCGAAAAAAAATCACTTTTCTTTTATAGAGAAAATATGGTACATAAAACTTGGGTTCATTGTTCCATGTCAGGGACGTGATTATTAAAAGCGGTGTTAATTCTATTTTGGCGAGCGAGCGTAGCGAGCGAGCAAAAAAAAATCACTTCTTTTTATAGGGAAAATATGGTATATAAACTTGGTTTAATTGTTCCATGTCAGGGACGTGATTATTAAAAGCGGTGTTATTTCTATTTTGGCGAGCGAGCGTAGCGAGCGAGCAAAATTTTTGTAATGATAATTGGTTCATAAATTTCAGATTTTTTTGTTGCAGGGCAGGGCAGGGCTTACACAATCATGTCTAAGGTGATGTTAATTCCGTTTTGGCGAGCACGAGCACACCAAAACTTCTTTGAATAACGTTTCGTACATAATTATTAACTGGTTGTTGCAGGTTGGGGCGGGCACGTTAGCGGTGTCAATTCCATTTTGGCGAGCGAGCATAGCGAGCAAGCAAAAAAAATAAATTCTCTTTTAATAGAAATTAATAAATAAACTTGTTTTTATTGGTGCAGGTCAGGATGGACGCAATCGCGTTTAACGCGATTCAATTCCTTTTTGGCGAGAGGGCGAAAATAACTCTTCCATTTTTAATGATATTGTTGCAGGTCAAGGGTGGGCACAATTATTGTTTCCAAAGCAATGTCTATTCATTTTATTCGCGAGCGAGTGTAGCGAGCGAGAAAAATGAATTAGTCTCTTTTAGTAACATTTGGTACATATATTGTGTGTTATTGTTGCCATGGTTGCAGGTCGGGGCAGGCACAATTGTATTCTAGGCAATACTAATCCTTTTCTTTTTTCAGGGGGACGAGGAAGTGAAAACATTTAATACAAAATAGGCTAGCAAGCAGTTCGCGCCAGCGAAGAGTTTCAAATTAGTTATATCACTTATATTTTCCTATTTTCATTTGTTTTAATTTTTCAGGGCCGTATGCGGAATATTTTTCTGATGGGGGAAGGGAGAAAGATGCGTTAAAAGTTTTTCGAAGAATCTCAAAAGCAAAAGGAGTGAAGGGAGTTCGAGCGACCGAACTGGTTATGAGGGTAATTTTGCATTTTCAAAAGTAGAATTAAAGGATTTGGTATGAGGCCTACACTACATTTTCAGGAAAAAAACTGTACGATTTCAAAATATCTGGGGTCAACTGCCTCCCCCCCCCCCCGGTGCTTACGGCCATGTTCTTTATTTTTTTTCCCCATTTTTATTCCTTTCCTTTTCTTTTCCCTTTTCCTTCCTTTTCTCTTCTTCTTCCTTTTTTCTTTCCTTTTTTTTCCTTTTTTCTCTTTCTTTCCTTTTTTCTTTCCTTTTCCTTTTTTCTTTTTCTTTCCTTTCCCTTTCTTTTCTTTTCTTTCCCCTTTTTCTTTTTTTCCCCTGGAGCCCGTCAGGGGGGGGGCACTCTGCCCCCCTGCCCCCCCCATAGGTACGCCAGTGCCCCCCCCCCCCAGGCCCAGGAGAAAAAAATAATCTCCTACAACTGCATTAGCCACAAAGTGTTATTATTCGATAAATTGTTTTTAATCGGGCATGACATTCGAATTTGCAGCCACTTTTAAAAACACGGGGGCTCGAAACCAAAAACGTTTTCCGTTGTCTCGCTGAAAATAGGGGCAGGGGTTATCCGCATGTCACACACTGGAATCGACTGGGCCAGCGCGAGCTAGCTGGCTGGCCTGGCGCGGCGGCGCGACGCAAAAAACATTGCAGGCTAGCGCAGATCAAACTAGAACATCGCTAGTGAACATCCGGGATATCTGGGATGTAATGTATGAGATCAATATGGCGGCGAGTACATGTGAGTCGTCATTTCTGTTTTTTCTTTATTTTCAGTCTATTAAGAGGTTGTTTGTTATCTTTCATTGTTCGAATAATTAGTTTAGCATTTTATTAATAAGTTAATCGGGTTTAATGTGCCTTTATATGTATCATTTCGCTAGCAATTACCTAGTAGTACGGCGATATCCCGTCGGTTGATGGCTGTGTCTGTGCGAATGTATCTGGGTAGAAACTGCATGCAATTTGAAGTGAATGATATGAGTATGGAGCGTGAGTCGAGTGATGAATGGAAATCGAAATCACCGTGTGGCTGAATGAGAGAAATTGGGTGAAATGTCATATCCCCCCCTGTATGGGTGTATGTCGGGTACTTAATTATGATTAAAATGAATGTACACCAAACTGTAGATATAAGTTAAGCACCACTTGCAGAACAATCCGTTTGAAGAGCCATGCTTTTCATTTCAATTTCAGGGAAGATTTATTTCTGATGTTCTTCCACACCTGCATGATTGTGATAAGACCAAATTTTTCTGTCTCTTTCATTCGTAAGCCTCTGATTTGGGTAGGGTCGGCTCTGTCTTTGAGCTGACCCTATACCCTACCCAAATCAGAGGCTTACGAACGAAAGAGACAGAAAAATTTGGTCTAGATTGTGATAACAATGATAATGCTCATAAATTATTTTTCACCTCTCCTCAGAACTCAACTTTCCCTTTAAACAGGGAGTTATCCTTGTTTTGTAATTGAAAATGTTATATGAAAATATGCCATGTTTATACTTGAGTTTTTTCCTACTTAACTAGGCCTAGGAGTAGGAGGTCTAGATCTAGATCTAGGCTGATTTCAATACTTGTTTATTTCCACATTGTAAAATCCTTGAAAGGATGGCAAACTGCCACGGCAGACAAGCCATAGATCTAGTCTGAATTATTATCAGCCTATTCAGGGCTCATCTAAAACTTAAAAAGTTGGCTGCCCGACTGGCAACTAATGAACCCCCCAGCAATATAAACCTAAACATATTACTTCACAAATGCCAAGGCACATCTATAAAAAAGCTGAAGTTAGAAATGACTCACAGGCGTCAGAGCGTGCTTACAATGATCCTACGCTTGCACGGCCATAGCGGTAGGTGAGCACCCTGTCCTGGCTGGGGCATAGATACCTTGTCATAGATACCTTGTAATATAATACGTACGTAAGCCCTTGCGCGTACATTATCCTTTTGCCAAGTCGAGATCGCTCAGCGCAAAATGACGATACACTGCTCAAAACATTGGACAAAAATTTTATAGCATATTTGTACCAAGAATAATATGAGTAAATTAAGTATTTATTTGTATAAACTTGTATGGCTCTCTTCCATCTACATGTACATGAATGATGGGGTTGAGTGTACGGACTGTTAACGTTTGTTAAGCTTCCGTACACTTTAGCCTTTGGATTATAACGTAATGTATCAAATAGCAATAACTATCAAAGGTCCTTTATGATTAGTGTTTTATGTAAACTTTAAAAGATGTATGAAACATCTATAAATTAATGTTTTGAATCATCTGTCTAGACACATGACATCTGAGTACATATACAATAGTTGTGGGTATACACCACAGGTTGGTTACCCACACAGTTAATTTTATTAAGTAATTTGAAGCTGACATATTCCATTAATGTTTTAAGAATACAGTATGTTGAATAATATTATAAAAGACAAATATCTATGATGATGAGTGCTATACTTTACATGACTGCTGGGATGTTTACAAGTGTTCAGACACACATTTCAGAAACCTGTGTGACCCTGATATATAAATGTAGACTTAAAATTAGTCATTGTATCTACTAGCTAGTATCTTCATGTATGTATAGATCTTGACTGTAATATTAAGTTAATTATCAGCTACTATTTATTGTAAAATTACTATTGATTAAAGGAGATACAATGAACTAAGATGATAAAACCTAATTCTACATTTCTGCCAAAGAATTTTTTAAATGATGTTTTTGAATGATCTTTTTGTATACCTAGACCTAGCACTCTTGTGAAAAAGAAATGTCCGAAAACTATGCAACAATTGTTTTACAAGGTGCTATCAGAGCTTTTATGTTTTTGTCAGTTTTTGAGAAAATTTCTCTTATTGAAGAATCATCTTCATTTATTGATGTGCAATTCCTACTGGGTAATACACCACAATAATGGGCAACAATTTGGAAAAGAAGTGGCTTCTTGCAAAGTGTAGCATAGTCCAATCTTATGAATTCCTTCAATGTGATTTTAGGTATGTACACAATAAAAACAGGGGGACAATGATTTTCATTTGTGAGAGAGTGAGAAAAGACCCTCCTGGGTCATACATTTTTTTAACAATTTGTAATTGTATGCATTTTGTAATTTGAAACAAATGAGAAAGTAGCCGTCACTTCATCACAGAGACATTGCCAATTTGAAGAGCTCATACCTACATTTATAGTGACTACATCTTTTACAAATTCTTAATTTTCTAATTTTTTGCCTGATTTTTTTGAGCAGTTTGCTATCAAGGTTGGATTTACCTAAGCTCTACCTTCGGCTGTATTCAGCAAAGGCAATAACCAACATGTAAATATACAGTACTTGTGAGGACAAATATGACCTCTAGTTATTCTTCAAATAGTTAGAGATCCTCTACAATGTTTCTTAATTCATTCACTTATCAAAGTAATCCAAGAAACCTCCTTAAGATTGCACAAGAGAATATAATATAAATGCTTACTTATCATTTCATGCTCTTGTGTTTCTTACATGTTTATAAATTTGATTTGATTTTCTCTTCCTTTAGTCTCCTGAATGTGTTTGACAAGAAATATTCATCATGAAGATTGACAGGAGTAAATTGAAAAAGAGCACTTCTGAAGTGGTAAGTCATTGTTGAAATGTATGTTGTACAATTTGACCTTACTCTGCCTCCTGTACGTTATTGGTTATATTTAATATTCCTCCAAAATGATGAATTCTCTTCATGCTTTTGACATTTATCAATCAATGTTTAAATGAATTCTGCATGTGATTGAAAATTGAGTTAGAAATTCTTTTAAAAATCAGGAGGGATCATACTGCTTTCAAAGGCTAATGCTTAGGAATTGAATGAGTGCTGCTGTATTGAAATATTTTGAGATTTTACATCTGAATTAATTTATTTGTTTGTATATGAGATGACCATAAATAATTTGTTAAGTACAAATCATGATTATACAGCATACAATGTCTACTAATTCCAAATAGCATAATCACCATTTTGAATCGGGCATTACATGTAGAATGTTATGAATTTATGATGAAACATTTCTTAATTCCTAAATGTTCACCATGCTGAGATTAATCATTTACAATGTCTTTGGAATATGTTAAGAAAAATATAACAATGTACATATCTTTATCATAATTTCAGCCCTTTGACTGTCAGGCTTTGATAGAGAGACTGAAAACCAGCAATGATCTCCTGTCAGAGCTACAAGGAATCAAATCATGGAACTATGGCAAGGTAAGCCAATTTATCTACTACATTGCCTACAGATTAACTAATATATTATCATGCTAAAATAATGGTTGATGAATATTGAATTGATGATGGGCGCGACAAACCCGCTTGCCCGACGTCCCGGGGCAACCAAATTGAGCCGTCGGGCAAGTAAATCAAATTATCACTTGCCCGATTCGGGCAAGTGATACTTTTACAGTAATTTCCTAGTGTCCAAGAACTCTACCATTCACCCGTCAACTTCTTACCCGTCGTCAAAATCCAGAAGCAAAAAAGCGATCGTTCCGATTTCGAAAAAACTTCACAGACAGCTAGCCAGCTCAGCTAGCTCAGCGCGCATGCAACAGTGACACTTCAAGCCATGAATGCCGCTCCGCCTCCACGCACGGCCGGCCGTGAGCTAGCTAGAGACAGCTAGCGCGATCGTACCAGCTGCGAGCTTATTCGCGCTCTCTCTCTCTAGCTCTGCAGGCCGCACCGACAGGCCTTTGCTATTCTCTGATTGCCGATTGGTTGAATCACGCCAAATATGACGTCATTATTCTAGGGAAATGAACACGTGCGAATCGGAATGGAATAAACAACAGGGATTTTCTAGTAAGTACAAAAAGTCAAATGTTTGATATTTATTCATAATGACTGTTAATGATTGTGAACATATTATTTAAAACTCGCTGCTCATATAAATCAGATGAATGTTTTTGTCTCGTTTTCAATTTATTACTGCGGTCTCAAGATCCGACCGAGCGAGTCATTTTGATAATAGTATCGAGACCCCCAGAATATAAGCCGTTGTTGTTTTGTTTTCATGGTTTTAGCGACGTTGTTTAGTCTAGTTTTCGCATACTTATCCGAGATTTATCGTAAAATATCTTCAATATTATTATTTAGTAAGAATTTACAAATTTTGGCATGATATTTATAGCAGTGAATGATGAAATAAAAATGTCCGTACTTTATTTAAAATAGTTGATTACCCATTATTTACATGACGTTTCTTGATGGAAGAGTTGACCCAAATTATTAACAGCTGAAAATTAGCCTACGTTTCCAAATGACAGCGGCTTGCACAGACACACATGTGATGTTGCACCATGGTACATGTGGCTACCATTAATGACATGTTTGTATCATATTTTTTACAACAGGGTCATTATGCTTTTTTACATGACTGAATATTAAAAACTTAAACCTGCTTGAACCATTCTACCTTGCCGAGATTCATGTGAATCTGATTATTTATGGAGAATCAATAAAATGCGTTTTTTAAACCTTCAACCATCCTTTGTTGACCATTTTCTTTGACATATTAGGTTATTATTCAGTACAGTTACACTGTACATGTATGTGCATTAATTTGCTATCTAAAACACTAACTTATCATTACGAGATAATAAATGCTTTAACCTCGAGTCCTTTTTCGCTTTAAAGTTTTGGGCAAGTGGAAATATTGTTTGGGCAAGTAAATTGAAAACCCACTTGCCCGACAGGGCAAGTGGTGAAAAAAATTCTTGTAGCACCCTGATGATGATGATGTGTATTCGGTTGCAAATGATTGAAAATACCTTGAAGCTGTAATATATACAGCCATTCAAGTTCAATACTTTGTATAACCTTAGGGCCTACACTACTGAATATTAACAAATGAAAATACAAAATCGAATTTTCATTAAGAAGTGAATTATACATAAAAACTTTAAAAGTTAGTTTAAGCAGTGTAGTTATTGTGCATCTGGATGTGTTTTTGTTTGTTTTGTTTTTACATGGAAGTGTTACTACAGAAATGCACTAAAATAAAATAAGAAAGTTATGAATTTTTGAAGTTACGATAAATCGGCAACTCTGAGATTTATCTTGCAAGGTCCTATCCGATTTGCTCTGTACAGAAAATTTCATAAACTTTTATTTTTTTTAGTTATGGATGACAAAACAGGGGTTGTAGAAATACCTACAGTATTTGCAATAATTATGTCTAGGGTGAATGTATGATTGATATTATTTTAAAGGGAAAATGTGAATATTTGAAGATTTGTAGTACACGTACAAGGCAAACGGGAGGGAAGCTCGCAAGATACGTCACAGAGTTGCCAATTTTTGTATCATTGATATCACTTTCAAAAATTCATAACTTTCTCATTCAAAATCGGTTTTTGCTAAAACTTTCACTTTTTCTGCTTCTATCACAACCAACTTAATATCAGGATGGACTGCCCCTTTAATTTGATTTATGTATATATTTGAATATTATCATTTTGTTGATATTTGTAACTAAACTTCAATGATTTTATTTTTGTTTAGAAAGAGAAATCCTTAATTTGGTATTTATGGATTATCTAGATGCTTTTACCAACGTCATACTGATTCTTTTTCAATTTTTTTTCTTCTCGGTGCTCCTTTTCTGTATACATTACACATGTACATGTATGTCTATGATCATATAAAACAAACAATGCAATAGGAAGGAATACATTTCATTGTGTTTCCTGCGTATAATTTGGGTTACCTTACTTTATTTGTTATGGGTTTTCAGTAACTCATTTTACATGCTATATTAGTTGTTGTGTTGACTGCTGAGTATTGCACACACTTGCTATGAGTCATCCCATGATGTACTGATCACAGAGATTAACTGTCTATAAATAGACCACTCAAGCAAGGTACCTGTACATGACTCTGTGTGTGTACAAACTGAAGCTGTTACAGACACTTTCCTATATTAGTGTCAGTTCATACATGTATGTTTTTGTTATGATATGATGCAAATACATGTGTATCAGTAGTACATGTCTTCAAATGGAAGAGTATCGGTCGTTTGACATGTCTGAATGTTACATAACTTGAAGCTCATTAAAATTCTTTCATTTATACTTTGAAAAGGTTGAATCACATATCTCCCTACAGACATAATAGATTTCAGGGACTTCACTGGAATATTAAGGCATTAGTGCATAAGCACGATTTTGAGTGGAATCTTTATTCACTTGATGTGCAAATGTACATATCAACATGACATGTATACATGTTGTTAGATTTTTACATTTGAAGTGCTTAGCACTTTTTTCAATTTTATATTATTCTTTTACTGCCTTGCAGGGAAACATCAATACCGATTTTCATAGTGTTTCCTCCACTACCTGATGCAAAAGAAGCGGTTGTCCTAAATAATAATAACTTTGATACTACATCTGCAATGAGTAATATTTAGCGTAACTTATCTGTTGTTTGTCTGATTCTTTGTTATGGCTATTCACTGCATGTTATGGACTGATGATTGGTTTTAAATTTAGTCATTGTCTGCAGGCCAAATGAATGAGACATGCAGTATTCTACAAAAAAGAGGATGTATTATAAAGTTACAGTGGCACATGTACTGTGCTCATACAGTTGGTATACTGTAGTTTCACGAAAATGTCATCTGTACAAGTTGCCATTGTCCTATTCATACAAGTTTCAATGGAATGTCTGCAATTTTGTACAAATGACAGTTTGTGAAACGCTGCCCAGGGCTCTACACTAACTGTTTCTATAAAAGGGAGAACAGATTGAAATCTTTAAGTCTGTAATCTGTATGCATGAGCCTCGTGTAAAAATTCTATGAAAAAATTGGGGGGGGGGGGGCTTGAGTTTGTGGACTTAGATATTCAGCACCCATGTGTCTCAGATGCCTGTTAATGGTGAGCCCTTTTTGTAAAGAAAAAGTTATCTGATTGTGTACATTATTATAAGAATTATATTTTGACTCTATTCCTGTACTAATGCTTTCTTCCTCCTTTCATTCTTCTTATCCTTGCGTCTTTTCTCCTCTCCTTTACCTGTTGTCCTTTGAAGTGTGAGTTGTACCACTGGGTGGATGTCTTGGACAGGTTCGATGGCATCCTGGAAGATGGTTGCTCGGCACCACCTGACCAGCCATGGCGGCTGTCATGTGACCAATCCCAGAATACCCGCCTTCGGGACTCTGTACACAGTGTGCTTACCTTCACAGCTCTGCTCATTGAGCACAGCTTCTCTAGGCATCTCTACAGCTCTGTTGAGGTGAGCAAAGATTCTTGATATTACAGAGTAAATGCGAATGTAAAGTAGCGTTCTAGGATGCTCATGTCTCATGTTATCAAGAATAGATTGATATCTTTTTGTTGTATTTTGTAATTATCTATTTATAGGGAATGAAACTGTATGAATACATCTTTTCTAAAGATGTATGTACAGTGTACTGGTGTAGGATGCTACATATTCAACATGTACCTTATATTTTGGAATGGGTGAGGTATAAACATTTTACCATAAGAATGGATGAGGCCTCAACAGGGGTTGAAAAAGAAATATTATGTAATCAGAAATACAAATAAGGATTATTTGTAATCATTTTCTTATCAACTCATTCACACGTGTATGAAACTTTCATTCAATTAAAAATGTTCAATAAATAGTAACTGCTGATTAATTTCATGTTACATTCACAGATAGAAACGCAAATGCACGAAGCCTTGTTCTCAATGTGTTTCCACACTCTCTTTTATTTCATACACTGTATTTACAGCATCTTACAACTCTTCTAGCTTCCAGTGACATGAACACTGTATTAGCTGTCTTGAACTTGGTGTATGTTTTCAGGTAAGAAAATCCCCTTTTGAACACAATGTTTACTGGTATGCATCTAAAGAAGAACTAGTGTATAGTTAGAGACACTTTATCTGTATTGTAAAACACATCAATATGATTGATTTGGTAATTGGAATATTTATATGATATCATAACATAATTATTATTACTAATGTAGAAGCTGCAGTGCAATAGATCATGGTAGTTTAGACGGCTCAGTTGGAGGTGAATACATTTATAATTACAGAGATTATGCAATTTTTTTGTTCTGTATTTGTGTCCACTAACTCTTGCATTATACAGTAAAAGGTCCAACTTCTTGATCAAGCTGGGTGCGGAGAAAAGGAAGGAGCTCTTCAGCAGGCTGACCTACCTAGCAGAGAGCTGGGGTGGCAAAGAAAATGGCTTCGGCTTGGCAGAGTGCTGCAAGAAGACCTCCAAACAGGTAACAGTTTGAAATTTCTTACCATGTAGCAAGATTACCAAATTAACGAATCATGGCACTACATGACTTCATATTCTTCGAGATAGAAATGATAGTAGTTCAACTTTGTTTCTGAATCTTCAACACACTTTGTTCCTTAGTTTTGTTTCCACGTTTCTGACATTGTCACAGTTTCAGGGCAAATTATTGTTGTAGTGTGTTGAAGGAAAATTAACCTCTTGAGTACATCTTTGATTTATATGTTCAAGCTCTTCTATAGAAACCTTTTCTACTTTATGAACTAGGATTGTGTCACGTGAAGTCTGAGAGTGGTTGCTACTTAAATATCTAAACTGTGAGACAGTCATCTTGTATTGCAATTATGCTAAGGATGTGACATATATATTTTGTGTATTTCAATTTTTGTTTTCCTTCTTTCCGCAGGGAATCCCTCCAAGTGCCACAACTCTCCATTTTGAGTTTTACTCAGAAAATCCAGCAGAAGAAAAGGTTTCATCTAAGAAGGTAAAATATATATGTACACCATTTTTCAGTACAAATGGCTAGATGGTTTGGATATAGAATGGGATACATCATGTACATTTTAAAGTCCTGACATAGATGTCTTTAAGCCCCACTGCACTACTTATAGCTACTTGCGCCCTCTATATAGCGAACAATGCCTAATCGGTGCCTGTTGGTCCCCCATGATCCTCTTTTTCTTATGTTAATTGAGAGCTGATTTAATGAGATAATCACCTGTCAGTGACCTTGCAGGGAAGTCTAATCCCGCCTGGCCAAACTAGCATATTACCCATGAGGTACCAGGAAGAGAGAGGAGACGATGGAGAGCACCGGTGTATGAATTCATGACACCCGTCCCTTGGTCTCGAGGATAGGAGAAGAAAGAACTTGGCAATAAAAGTGATAAATCGAAAACTTTTCATTATTTATGATGATTTGATCAACATTAGAATATTTTGATCTCTCCAATCTTCACTAAGTACTCTTCTTCCTAAAATGAATAGTACATTCTGTTTGGTGTGTATTGGTAAATATAATTTATATGTCTTAATTTCAATTTTATTTTGTAACCTAATCTCCCTTTTGTAGCATTCAGTCCAGGCAGTTACAGTTCTTCACTTGGAACACGTAGACAAAGTAAGTACTGAAGAGTGAACCATAGTGTGTAGATTATGAAATTGGGGGCAAAGGGTTTCCATGGTTTTCAGGCTCTTGCAAGAAGCTGTAAGGTTTGTTAAATTGAAATATATGCATGTAGGGAAATCAGACCCCAGTCCCATAGTTATTTGTAAATTAGTTACATTTTAATGAGCCTTCAGAATTTTGAACAAAGAATTATTCCATAGGTGTCTTATGTTTCATACTAAATGAATGATAATGTGAATACTCTGTCATCTTTTTGTAATATCTCTCTGTTTACAGGATCACTTACACTTTGTTTCAATGAAGTTAATACAATTTTCTTTGCATGTCTTTACAGCTTGCACATGACCCAGTAGACATCATGGAAGATCAGCTGTCACAGCACAATGTTCCCAAAGACAAACTGGTGAGTTAAATATATATACGATTGTTAAAAATATTATAAAATGACAACAAATACATAATCCTTTTAGGCATGTCTATATTGAAAATTCTAGTTGTAAAATATGTTCTATAGACCCAGTTATAATTTACATGAATTGTATATTTAAAATACCTTGCTCTAATACCGGGTGAAATAATCACACAGATCTGTATAAATCTGTACAAAAGTCTTTAAATCCTACTCTGTTTTTGATATGTATGGTAACCCTAAACAGTGAAGTAAGTTGTATAGCAAAACACTCATGGATAAATATTGATCACTTTTGCATCCTGATATGCTTCAATATCTAGCAAACTTGAAGGGAAAGAGAATGATAACGAGAAGGAACGTTCAACCTGTAGTTTGTACTTGAATTTTGTTTTATTTTTGTTTCGGTACAGATGCTTCTATTCACGCACATACGGCTAGCACATTGCTTCTCTAACCATCAAAAGAGATTACAGTGTGTACAAGCTAGGCTACAAGCCCTCTCTGTCCTAGGTAAGTTTAATGACTTTCAAGAAAAATGTGAAACCAGGAGTTTGTTATTTGCTGTTGATGTAATGGAGTACCCACCATTTACTTCATTTCGTGTAGATATAGAATTTATGTTACATGCAAATGCAAGGACTTTTTGTTTGACTTAAAACATTGAAAACTTTGAAAGATGACTTCTTTAAAGCCTGTCAGCATTAGTTTAACCAGGGGGATTAGACCTCCCTGCAAGGTCACTGACAGGTGGTTATCTCATCAAATAAGCTCTCAATTAACATAAGAAAAAGGGGATCATGGGGGACCAACAGGCGCCGATTAGGCATTGTTTGCTATATAGAGGGAACAAGTAGCTATAAGTAGTACAGTGGGGCTTTAAAAGTGAGTTTATCAAGTGCTTTCATTGCTTGGCTCGGAGGAAGATTTCATCACTGAGAAATATTATAAAACAATTTTGTATTGAAAATGTAAATAAAGACATTTTGTTGGATTGATAGTATTTGTTGATTTGCATGCATTGACAATGACTCTTGAACTTGAGCGCTGAATATTTTGATTGCTTCATTCCTGAGAATTTAAAATGATAACGATCATATATCATGGTTTACTCATGAAATATATGTAATATTAAACATTTTGTGCTCTTTTCCATCTGTTTTCATTTCAGTCTATTCAAGTGCAATCCAAGAAATCTCTAGCTCTTTGTTGTATAGTGGCCTCATAGAGGAATTAGTTGATGTTCTCCAGCTTGAAGATGTAAAGCTTGTGGTGAGTAATGGGGACAGTCGTTACTCTTCCAATATAAAAGTCATGTTTAGATTTCATATTTATATTAATCAGTGTTTGCAAATGAATTAATTTGATACACTAGCAAGCCAAGCCTTTGCAGTACATTGATAATGAACTCATTCCTTGTAGATGTCAGAAAACACTTTCAAATAGAGTAAACAGAAAGTAGAAGTCCCAGTTCTTAGTGTACATTGTTTGAACCCTGACTAGATTGTCAAAAGAGCAACCCAATGTTTTGCTCTGGACCATACTAGCTGTTATCATGAAATTTTACAATATTCGAAAAGCCCTTTCTTCCCAAAAATGTTGCTATTTGACACATTGCACAATTACAATTTAATACATTGATTTTCCTTTTTTAATTTACAGGATATAAAATCTGCTTCTCTTAGAACTCTTACTTCAGTCATTCACCTAGATAGAAATCCAGAGTAAGTAAACAAGCAAATACTTCTACTATTGTGGTCAGTTTCCTGAGAACTAAGAGAGCTTTTCTTTATAAAATATAAAATTTATTGAACATACTGATATCTTTTGTACTAGATGGAGATATGAAGTTTCCAACTTGGGAAATATGTTATTACAGATTTTTTTAGGAGAAAATCTACACTGCTTGTTCATTTCCAATATGTGTGTTATGTACAGTGTTTGAAAACATACTTTTACACTTCTATGTGACACATAGACACTGGTTCTACAGGTGTATATTCTATGAATAAGGTGCTCTATAAATATCAATAATAAAATTGATTTATAAGGCATAGCTACTTTGTGAATATACGCTGTTGTGAAGAAAAAATAGGGCTACTTTATGGACACAACACCAAATTTCATTCAAAAGGCTTCTGAGAACAAGTTCGTCTCCAACAAAACTTTTAAATGGCAACAGATGAGGCTTTTCTTATGTTTAATGGTATGTTATCCAATTGTTATATAAATATAATTTTTATGTCATTGCGTTTGTATTTATAAAATGTAACTCACTTACATAGAATTCTCTGAAACTTTATTATTTTATACATATTGCATATTTGATGTTTATACCCAATGAATGCCTTTTCTCAGCAGGCTTATTAGCATAATAGACGCAACTGGTGCTGCCTCTTATCATGGGTTCTTACCTGTTATGGTCCGGCAGTGTATACAAGCCATGATCGGTAAGCCTTTCAGATTTATTATTAACATATAATGGATTTTCTTTCTATGAACCACTCTCATGTTCTTGCATTTCTACTCTAAGAAATATTAGTTGGCAGATTTGACAGTATTGTTATGTTCTAGAAAGAAAAAAATATTATGTTCAATACCATTTTTTTGTCATGCACCATTCTATGCCATTTAATTGGGTTGCTAGTTTGTTGATCATACATGCATTTTGCGTTCATTTGAAATATGAAGGGTTTTTAATTACTTGGTGAATAACTAAATTACTGTGAATTAATTTTGTTGATGTTTTTGTTTTCAGATCCTAACATGGAGTCATTCCCCCACAGCCTTGCCACTTCTCTCTTCTCATTCTTATATCATCTAGCCAGTTATGAAACAGGTAAGAAATTGCACTTTTTCTTCTTCTTCTCCCTCCCCCTTCTTTAAAAAAAAAAAATCAAGGTAATTAGGTGAATATCAACCAATTACACAATTTTAAGCAGTCACTGGAATTAGGGGAGGGGGGGGGGGGATAAAACCCCAAATCTGTATGTAACTTTAATTAGAATCTACTTACAGAGGAATTCTTGCTATTTATAACAGCAGCAATAGTCCTTGCATTTGCATATGTTTGAAGAGACTAATGCCCTTTTTTAAAAGCTGATGTTCTCAACTTGTATTGTCTTATATATTGTATTTTGCACAGGTGGTGAGGCCTTAGTGTCTTGTGGTATGATGGAATCTCTTCTCAAAGTCATCAAATGGCCAGGAGAAGATGAGCAGCTGCATACAACGGTAAGGGTCTGTACCTTATCCAAACAAGAACAATAGAAGGACTTGTAAATGGTTTATTACTGTAGAAAAAATAACCTCCATACACTTACATGTTGCTCTATTATCACTTAGTTAAGAGGGACACCAAGAGCTAAAAATGCTCTCATCATCATCAAATATTTGGTGGAATCTTGATATTCTGGAAATGTTTTCTGTCGAATATTTCACCTCATCAAACTATTGATCATTATCATGATCTACTGACTGATTTCAATTTGTGTTACGACTTTCAAAATCTTTTACATACTCTGCTATAAAATGCTCTGCCAAGCTAAGACTTATGTAAGATTTTTCTGTTGTTGATATGAAGTGATTAAGTTGGTTTCTTGAAACTAGCCTCAAGAGTTGTAGAATGTGGACTTGAGCAATCATATGATGGCTGCTGTATGATTCATCATTCTGTATCTTTTATGTGTGTGTGTGTGTGTTGTACTGCAGTTTGTGACAAGGGCTGTACGTGTAGTTGATCTGATCACCAACCTTGACATGGCAGCCTTCCAGACCCACGGCGGACTCTCCACATTCATCAACAGACTAGAGGTATGTAGCATTTGATTAAATTTGAAGAAAAATCTTCCGTACTGAGTCAAATACTTACAAGCATATGTAAAACAATCCTGTTGTAAGAGACAACTTTCAATTTTTATGTCTTCAATTATTGAGAATACCCTTCTACTCATCACCTTGAAGCCCCACTGTACTACCTGTAGCTACTTGCTCCCTCTATATAGAAAACAATGCCTAAGGGGTGACCATTGGTTCCCCATGATCCTCTTTTTCTTATGTTAATTGAGAGCTGAGTTGATGAGATAGCCACCTACCAGTGACCACGCTACTTGGTCTAATCCCTCCTAGCCAAACTAGTACAGATGGGCTTTAAAGAATCGTGTTGGAAAACAATATGCATGATTGCAAGTAAACAAACAGGGGGAAAAAGGGCATTGTCTGTCTTGTTCGTTTTTGTGAAGTACTTATTTCACATGATTCTATTGCTATGTGCTACCTCTTGCAGCATGAGATTGGCATATGTCGGAGGGATGTACCCTACGTCATCAAACCAACGATTCGGACGTCCCAGGATGCCATCCACTCCGCCCCGCCCTCCCCGTTCTCAGAAGACAGCACCACCATGGAGACAGACAGTCCCTCAGATGGACAGAGGGTCAATGAGGGTGCTTCTACAAGCTCAGGCACGGGCAAGGAAGAGGGCGGCTCAAGGCCAAAGAAGGGTAGATCAGGTCAGTTAGATGTACAGGGTGATTCAATAATCAAACAGAGGTGGGAGGGGGATGTCTTACTCTGATAACCACTAAGCAGAATGTCAAATTCACATAATCCTCTAGCTTGTATTCCAGTTAGCGAAGATTTGAGTAGGGGAATGTTTCTGTTTTATGACCAATCGACAAATCTACAAGCTCAGGCACGTGCAAGGAAGAGGGCGTCTCAAGGCCAAAGAAGGGTAGATCCGGTCAGTTCGCTCTACAGGGTGATGCGATGATCATACAGAAGTGGGAGGGGGATTTTTTCTCTGATATATAGCCCCTGGGCAGAATATCAAATTCACATAATTTTCTAGCTTGTATTCCAGTTAATGAAGATGTGATTTTGGGAATGTTTCTGTTTTATGACCACTTGACAGTAGTCATATTTACAAATCAAGACTGTATTTCAGCTAGTGAAAATGTGTGTCGGGTGTAAGTCTTTTTTATGACTGCTCGTCAGTGGTTATATTTACAAATCTAACTTTATTTCAGTTAGTGCCTACACTTATGCCCTAAGAGTTGAAGTCCATGGCTGAGCCTATTCAGTACCTTGAACAGTTAACATGATATCAACAATTCACACTACTGTGTCATTTTATTTCTTTGATCTAAATATTATCATCTTAACCCTATTTAGCCCGGGGGGGGGGGGGGGGCTTGAGAAGCCCCCCCTCGACATTTTTCGCGATAATTTTTTAACGCAAGAAAATCTTGCACTGAAATTTTGTGACTTTTTTCTTTCGAGTCTTGCGCATCTTTTGAAAGAAATTTTTCGAAAATCGGACCTACCATTACGAAGTCACGTGTCCTTTTGTCTTTGCATGTCAGCCCAAAAATCGCTCATTTTTGTGATTTGTGTACAAAACATATGTAAATCTCATTTTTCAAATAAAGAGATAAAACATTGGTTATTTGGTCTTGTTTATAGTTTAGGTGTTTATTTTTGGGTCAAAATAGTTGAATTATAGTTGGAAATGAAATAAAACAACAAAAACAATAAAATACATAACTTAAAAAAAACAAAGAAATACATAAGAAATTATCAAAACAATAGATAACATAAGGAATAACCCTGGTTTTTCAATTTTTTGTGTTGTATTATTATTCCAAATGGTCTAACAAATATATGTAGTGAGAAAGAATGCTTAAATATGAATAATGTCTGATTTATGGGCAAAAATGTGAATTTTATGACCTTATTTGCATAAATTACCATAAATATGCAAATGAGTGAATTTTTCAAAAAATTGAAATTACCATAGTATTCTATACACTTCACTTGACATGTATGCAAATTTTCGCGGCGATCGGGCGTTTCACGGCCGAGATCATAGGGGGGGGGGGGGGGGCCTGAGAAGCCCCCCCCTGGGCTATGCAGTTTCAAAATAGCCCGGGCTAAATAGGGTTAAATCGATGCCATATTAATTTGGTATTAGTCTTTAAAAAATGAAAAAAAATTGTACAATAAATTGCCAATTGGTATATTATATTAGAATTGCCTTACAAGATGAAAAGGTGTGCTAATGATGCCTCAACATTTGACTTTACAGCAACCCAGTGTTTCCCTCAGAGAGCAGCCCTGCTGAAATCCATGCTCAACTTCCTCAAGAAAGCTATCCAAGATCCTTCTTTCTCTGACAGCATTAGGCATGGTAAGTAGTCTTCTGTGCAACATCCTTTTATAGTGTGCTATTTTGTTCTGTGGACGATGTAAACAAAAATGGCATTTATTCATTCATCTAATCTATTCACTTCCTTGACTTAAAGATAAAGTTGAGTTCTGGTCATGCGATTGCATTGTGAAAGAAACGATGTGGAATCAACCTGAAAAGGTTGATCATCTAGCATATAAGTATTTGTGTGTAGTGCAAGGTTTTGGAATCATCAAAATGATAAGAAATTTGGCCAAGTCTTGGTTAAATTACAAACACTGTACACAGAAAGATGTATACGGGACTACACGAACACGTGGTGTAAAAATCCGTCCCAATTTTTACGATGTTACATGACATATTTAGAATATGAAGGCATTTGAAGAGCCATGCTTTTCAGGGAACATGTTTTATCTGATGTTCTTCCACATTTGCATAATAACAATAACGCTCACAAATTATTTTTCACCTCTTCCCAGAACTCAACCTTCTCTTTAAACCAAACATTTTTATCTGGCTGTATAACAAATATGTGCCATAAACGCATACGTAAAGTGCTATTTAACTTTTTAGGTTTTTTAAACTTGTTGGAATTACCAGGCTACTTCTGTTTCTTTTTCTGCAGTTATGGATGGATCATTACCCAGCTCATTGAAACACATCATTAGCAATGCTGAATACTACAGTGCATCGCTGTTTCTCCTTGGTAAGCATTTTACATTGTAACAAAAAAATAAAATAATGGCAACTACTGAAAATAATGGTGTACTAGAAATTATCAGTAATATCATTTTCATATGTAAGCATAAATATTGTGAAGTGCACATTTGTGACATAATTATAAGGTATACAAGTAATTGATGTGCATGTATTGTCTATAGGATTGAAGATGTGTGGTGATGAAAATGAGAGGGAAACAATGATGGGAGGTAGAATAAGTTCTTCCATGAAGGAAATTCCAACTATTTTTCTTCTTTCTTTTGTTCCCAACAGCTTGCGAGCTAGTTACTGTGTATGTGTTTCAAGAACCATCGCTACTATCATCACTACAAGATACAGGGCTCACTGATGTCATGCTGCATGCCCTTCTTATCAAAGACGTGAGTATTTAAAATCTTTTCAAATATTTGTTTCATCTACACTGCTTTTGTATTCAAATCCATATGGTAAATCTTATATTTACATACTTATTTCACAAATTTGTATGGAAATCGTTGTTGCAATCTTGTTAGGAAAGTCATTTCCTTTTCTTTTTTTTAATGAAATAGTAAAAACATGATTTTTCCATTCCTTTAGTGGGTTGATCATATTTGTTATCTCAATTTGTATCCCCTGTGCTTTCCATATTTCTCCCCCGTCTTTTAATAATAATAAGAGTGGGTTCTTGTTTAGCGCTCATGTCAGTCAGATTTGACCCTCCTGAATCTTACTACATTCTCTGCTTTTCCTTTTTGTATTCTTTCATGAAATGTAAAATGCATGCATGGTTTAATGAATCTGATCATTCAACTCTGATCACCTTTATCTTCACAGGTCCCTGCAACCAAAGAGGTGTTGGGTTCCCTACCTAACATCTTCAGTGCCCTGTGCCTCAACTCCAGGGGTCTGGATGCATTCAATCAGTGCAAGCCATTTGAAAAGCTCTTCAAAGTCCTCCTGTCTCCAGTCTACCTGCCAGCTATGAGAAGAAGAAGAACAAATGATGCATTAGGTAGGACTTTGACCAATATATTCATACCTGAAAAGGTAGAAAAATTCTTGAGAACAGGAATGATTCAGGCATTTATGCATAATTGGAACACATGCTTTACTATTTTGAATGAGTTAACTATGATTTAGGGGACAAAAGGATTACCCAGTGACTAGAATTTCCACTGGAAATGCAGTTATACAGGTTTACCTTTTTGCTAATTTTTTCAGTTTTTGAAGGAATTAACATAAATAAACATTCACTCAGTGTTACAAGTGGTTTACTGGATTTGTGTGTTTCATTTACAATTCTGAAGTAAGTTGCAATACCCAAACCCAAGACTTTGTTTATCATTCTTGTCCCTGTAAAGGGAAATGTTCTTGCTATTATAGTTAATTTCCAATGGAATTTTGCTCTTCAAAACTCTGAAAAGCATTGTAATCAGTGACAATACACCTGTATATTATATACTTGACATCACATTGCATTTGTAGGAGACACTGCATCATCGCTAGGTAGTGCCATGGATGAGTTGATGAGACATCAGCCCTCTCTCAAAGATCATGCAATGATGGCTATCATCAAGGTCAGTTTCTTTTACTATTATTTTTCCTCCTCTTTTGTAAAATATCATACCAGTATTCTAAACTGTTGGCAAAGGCTTAAAACAACAAATTTGGCAAACTTTGTCCAATGTAGATCAATGAATGACATTGTTTATGGAGATAATTGTTTGGATTTACAGTTTTGCCTCAAATTTTGTTTATAAGGAGCATAGCTGGGCAAGGACTTCACAAAAGCTGTGTAGTATCCTTCTATTGCAAACCTAACAGGTTTTGTTAGGTTAAAAATGTACGCCTTGTGGCACAGTTCTTTTTGTAATGCCCTATGAGATGACTTTGACTGCAGACAAAGGACTTGAAATGTGATAATTAGTCCCTGTTATGTCAACATGAAGCAAGAGCTTATATTGGATTATACCACTTTGATTTTCAGCTGATGGAAGATATATGCAGCATGGGGCACAACCCTAACATTGTGTGCAGTCGATCGGCGGTGAAGGCCAAGACACCTGCATCTAACCAGTCTCAAGCAACCAATGGAGATGACACATCGAGTGATGACGAAGACGAAGAAGACGAGGTACCCACATCTGTCAGGGAGCAGGAGTCTAAGATGGTCACACCCGTCCAACCTCAGTAAGTTGAATGAGAGGATGATAATACTTTGTTCTTTTATAGCGCATTTCATGTCTGTTGACATTTCAATGCGCTTTACAATGTACATATACAGACCTGCCAACCAGTACGATTTAGTCGTATTTAGTACGATTTTTAGAAGCAAATACGACAGTACGATTTTCCTTAATAAAATACGATTTTCCAAAAAATAAATAAATAAATAAATAAAACGATTTTTTTTTTTTTTTTTTAATTTTTTTTTTATTTATTTTTTTTTTTTTTAAATTTAATTTTGTGTTTGTGACATTATCAATGGCAAAATTCCCATTATGTTTTGTTAAGTATTCTTCAAGCATCTCACAGCAATTTGGGTATGTTCATTGGTTCATCGAACACACCAGTCATGACAAAATCGTGCATATTCAACCAATGATCCATAACAAAAATTCTTCCTGTAGGTAGGAACTGTAAGAGGCATTGATCCGCGTAACAATCCGTGTTTTTTTTCAAGAATACAACTTTTGTCAGTAAAATACAACTTTTGGGATTAAAGAATACAGTTTTTGAACTCCAGAGGTTGGCAGGTCTGCATATATAAAGTATAACAAGATCATATGAGAGGATGATGGTGATGATGGTGATGATGATGATTATTGCTGCTGCTTGGTAAATGATGCAAAGTTACCTAGCTGTACATTTTCAGATTGATCTGTAAGAAAAGAATTGATAAAAGCCTCACTGATCATTTATTTTTAATAAGTGTAATTTTATTTCCCATGCCTAGTGAAACTTTTGTAGGCCATTCTCCCTGTTAAGATTTGCTTATCCCCCCCCCCTCCCCCATTTTTTGAAAGGAAGGCATGTGTTGCTTTATAATAACAAACTCCTTTTAAAAAAAATATACTTTGAATGCATTGTTTTCCCCTTGCAGTCGCGCTCACAGACTGACGAGATAAAAGCCAATGCAATATTATGAACACAAGACATGTTATGAAGACTGGAGTTCACATCGTAAATTCAAGTCTTTCCTGTCATGTGTGACATTTATGTCTGAGACTCCATTTATCGAATTGATTTTGAATGAAATTGCCCTTAAATGTAGACCTATACATTTGTTATCGATATCGATACCTGTTTATGAACAAATGTGCTGTCTAATCTTGAAGATACATGAAAACAAATATTTGTCATTTATTTTGTCTTTCAGATCCACAGACCCTAATGAAAAGACTCCTGTACCTCTTATGGACTACATTCTCAATGTGGTAAGTTCTTGAATAAGTTTCACATAAATTAATTTTATGATCGGATATGTCAACTGTAGTTATGGAAATAATATCTAAACTCTTGATTGAACGAACCCTTGTTACCAGTGTTCAAGTGCAAGACATGGTTACAATATAAAAAATATTGCCTTTACTTTCATTTAGGCTCCCAACATTTTACATTGTTTTACCTTGCCTGTCATATCCATATATTTTGAAACTTTTTACCTATTTTCCGTACATTATACTTGATTTGAAATCTTTATTTTTGTTTTTGTGTAATCTACGCTTATATGCTTGTATACAAACAAAGAAGAATTTAAATTGTTTTTTGATGTAAATGTGGAATAAATAAACTTCAAACTTCAAACTACTGTTATTTCCTTATTTTAGATGAAGTTTGTTGAAGCCATCCTCTGTAATAATGCAACCGATGATCACTGCTGGGAGTTTGTGAGTCATCGTGGTCTAGAACCCCTGCTCAAATTCCTGCGACTGCCCAACCTACCCATAGACTTTCCCACCAGTAGTGCCTGCCAGTCCGTTGCTAGTGTATGCAAAGCCATTCTGGTAAGTCTCCCTATTTCATTTCCTTGAATTTCTTTTAGAGAATGTTTCTCCACATGCTGTAGTATAGAGTTTCATGTATAATGTTTATGAACAGTTGGCTTGGGATAGAATAAGTGTGGTTTGCATTAATTGCAATTCAAGTCAAATTATATTATTTTGTTGCCTTGAAAGTGCTGCCACTTTAAAGATCTCTTTCTAGTGTGAGGCAAGATATTACTATCTATTCACGATACATCCTGGCAGACATTTTACTGACAATTAACCCTATTTTAACTGGGCTATTTCAGACCAGGTTTTTACTGGGGGGGGGGGGGGTCAATTTGACCCCCCCCCTAAGATCTCGGCCGTTTCACCGCCGATCGCCGCGAAAATTTGCATGCATGTCAAGTGAAGTGTATAGAATACTATGGTAATTTCAAATTTTTGAAAAATTCACTCATTTGCATATTTATGGTAATTTATGCAAATAAGGTCATAAAATTCACATTTCGGCCCATAAATCATAGATTATTCATATTTAAGTATTCTTTTTCACTACATATATTCATTACACCATTTGGAATAATAATACAACACAAAAAATTGGAAGAGCCAGGTTATTCCTTATGATATCTCTTGTTTTTATAATTTCTTATGTATTTCATTGTTTTTTTAACTTATGTATTTTATTGTTTTTGTTGTTTTATTTCATTTATAACTACAATTCAACTATTTTGACCCCAAAACAAACATCTAAACTTTAAACAAGACTGAATAACCAATGTTTTATCTATTTTTAGGAAAAATGACTTTTACATATGTTTTGTACACAAATCACGAAAATGAGCGATTTTCGGGCTGACATGCAAAGACAAAAGGTCACGCGACCTTGTAACCGTAGGTCCAATTTTCAAAAAAATCGTTTTAAAAGATGCGTAAGACTCGAAAGTAAAAAGTCATGAGAGGAAAATTTTATATCTGCCGCGGTTTCGGAGTAGTCGCGAAATTTCTACAGGGGGGGGGTCAAATTGACCCCCCCCCCCCAGTTAACGTAGGGTTAACCCTATTTAGCCCGGGGGGGGGGCTTGAGAAGCCCCCCCCCTCGACATTTTTCGCGATAATTTTTTAACGCAAGAAAATCTTGCACTGAAATTTTGTGACTTTTTTCTTTCGAGTCTTGCGCAACTTTTGAAAGAAATTTTTCGAAAATCGGACCTACCATTACAAAGTCACGTGTCCTTTTGTCTTCGCATGTCAGCCCGAAAATCGCTCATTTTTGTGATTTGTGTACAAAACATATAGAAATCTCATTTTTCAAATAAAGAGGTAAAACATTGGTTATTTGGTCTTGTTTAGATTTTAGGTGTTTATTTTGGGGTCAAAATAGTTGAATTATAGTTGGAAATGAAATAAAACAACAAAAACAATAAAATACATAAGTTAAAAAAACAAAGAAATACATAAGAAATTATCAAAACAATAGATAACATAAGGAATAACCCTGGTTTTTCAAATTTTTGTGATGTATTATTATTCCAAATGGTCTAACAAATATATGTAGTGAGAAAGAATGCTTAAATATGAATAATGTCTGATTTATGGGCAAAAATGTGAATTTAATGACCTTATTTGCATAAATTACCATAAATATGCAAATGAGTGAATTTTTCAAAAAAATTGAAATTACCATAGTATTCTATACACTTCACTTGACATGTATGCAAATTTTCGCGGCGATCGGGCGTTTCACGGCCGAGATCACAGGGGGGGGCCTGAGAAGCCCCCCCCTGGGCTATGCAGTTTCAAAATAGCCCGGGCTAAATAGGGTTAAGCTGCTTTTGGTCTTATTATTACTATTTATTCAGCAAAACACAGTGTATACAAAAGAATTACATCGAAGAGCATATCATACAAAACAAAGGATGAAAATCAATTTAAAAAAATAATATCATGATTCCCATGAACATTTACAAGTAGCCAGGAATGGGGCAGGCAAACTAAATCACTGATACTGTGAAGTTTCCCCATTCCGACTTGCAGTACTCATGGGAGATCACTACATAGATGCAAGGTAACAACTAACAAGAGTTTGGCAATGATAAAAGAACAAATTCAAATAATTAAAATTAATCAATAAAGTACAAATTATTTCCTGTGCTATTTAAAGAAAATTAAAACAAAAAAATCAAATATGTCTTCATATTGGACAATTATAAAGCGGAACATTGTGATAAATTGAAGATATAAATTAATCATGCAAGTCTTCCCCCCCCCCCCCCTCCCACCTCCCACCTTTGTGTAGTCACTTGCAAGAGAGTCTGGTGTGTTGAAGGAAGGCCTTCTAATGCTGAAAGAAGAGCTCACTGCCCTGAAGCCTCTCCAGCTCCCCCTTGAACCCCCGGGTGGATCCATCCTTCTCAGGGAGCTAGTAAACTCGCCAAACTTCACTGGTGCTCCCCTAGGAGCTCCTACCACTCCACTTCTCAGGGCGATGGTCTCCGCTCACTCCTATGTCACCATGCTAGTACATGTTTGCAGAGTCGGACAGGTAAGATTGACTTCATGCTGTGATAAACTAGTAATAGATAGAAACAAGCTTGTGTCTGAGTTGTTAATTACACCACCCCTAAATGAGATGTTTCCGATATCTACTAGCACCAATGACATATTGATTGCAATTAGCCTTATTTATGTTGATTGTGTAAATTGGAAAAATTAAAGGTTACATGTATAACTTTGATCATGACTATGCTACAAGCTCCCTTTGGGAGAAAATGTGAGGGAGCACCTCACAAAGTTGATTATTCAGCAGTGCAAACATAGCCTTCAAATCTCCCATACAAAATGTTATGGCTCAACAAATTTCATGGGATGTAGACTTCTTTTCCCTCTCTTCATGAAGCCAGTGTTCTTGATGTTTGTATTCTTGACATTTTCTTCTTTCTCACCACAGACTGATGTGAGGACTATCTCAGTTAACCAATGGGGTTCAGATCTCGGACAAGAGGTATTACGTCACTTGAGTCATCTGTACATCTCATTGGTTTGGGAGAGCATAGTTCTCCTGGCACTGTTCACCCCAGGCACCCTCCCAGAGGGCTGTGAACTAGGCAAGCTAGAACGGGAGAAACTTCTCCCCAAGGACTTCACCAAGGACTCTTCGGATGCTACCACTTCCGCAGCATCCGCATCAACCAGTAAATCTGATAGCAATGCAAGGACTAGTGAAATAGATCCGGTCATCGAATCAGCAAGCACACTCATGGACGTCAGTGATGCCCTGTCAACCATGGAGGTGGATGATTCTAAAGAAGGGGCCAAGGACCCCAAGGCACGGCCCAAACCCAATGCTCAGATGCTCCAGCTGGTGAAGCAGGCCATGCCAGTGCTCTATGCACCCTCTAGACTTGGGAAAGCACTCTCTGAGTTGTTTGGTTTGCTTGTGAAGCTCTGCGTCGGGTCATCGGTCAGACAGAGAAGCAGGCAACACCTGCATCCCAATCCTAGCCCTCCATCTGAAGCAGCCAGGAATACAGCCAAGGTTCTCATGGAACTGCTACTCAACAGTCTTTCATGGACTCCTCCACCAGCTAGCCCACTGCCAAAATTCAGGTAACATCTTCTATTCATTCCGTCTATTCTATACTCATGCATGTGCCGTCAGCTGATGTCTGCTAAAATTGTTATCCAAGATCAGGAAATAGTTAGTGCATGTCGATGCACATTGAAGATAAGACATGACGAAGCATATGCGCAATGTCTTTATTGTGTCATTTTCATAAATGTGGCATTCCAATAAATGTTGGAAATGTATATATCCTTTCATCATCGTAAGTCCAATTTATTTTTCATTTTTAAACAGTATTTTGCTATGTATTCTGTCTACATTGTTGAAAATCCCTCTCTCTCATCAATGCTTTAAAATGGCTTTCTTTCATTTGTCTTGACCCCAGGGTAACATTCTACATCTGTGCTGTTAGCTTTGCATCTCCTATGCTGTTTGATGAGAAGAAGAATCCTTATCATCTCATGCTACAGAAGTTTGTCAGCACAGGAGCTCATGCAGCTCTCTTTGAGTAAGTCACTTGTATGCAATTGTTAAGTTGGTCGTGATTACAATCTAGAAAAGAAGAAGACATTCACTTTGAACATATTTCTGTTTGGCCTCATTTATGTTTCTTATTTCCTTTGGAAAATATGTTATTTGGCTGTATGGGAGGTATCTGCCTCCCCCTTCTTACTCATACTACAAAACTTGAAACTTCTGATCATGCATCTATATAAAATGAGATTCAAGTATGAAACTTTTTGTAGATAAATGTAATATGAAAATTTACAGATGAGAACCATTGTACATTCTCCAATATCCTATATCAATGGCTGACACTTTATCTCTAGAACTTCAGGACAACTTTACTTTCACAAGTTGATGAATAATCTATGTTAGCTTGTTTATAACACATCCACCATGTTTTGTTTGATGACAGTGCATTCCATTGGGCAGTCACCATGGGTGGTAAGATGAGAGCCTCAGAGTGTATGGAACATCCAGACCTTCCAGGTAAGTATCAACACAATCTCTAGTTATGTTTCATTCTAATCATTTGAAGAGACTTATCTAGATTGGTCATGTTCTTTGATTAAATGTAGTCATTTTTCATTGATTTGTCTTCTATTATTGTTTGCAATATTCATTTTCTGCACCCACTGAATTTTCCAGCTTTGAATGTAATCATCCTTTTATATAAAGGGCATGCTATCATTTATAACGTCCCTATTTTCACGAAGTGACGGTAGTGAGGAAAATCGTAACGCAAAGTGAATGCAATTTTTTTTCACTACCGTCACTTCGTGAAAACAGCGACGATAATATGTTCTGCGCCTAGAAACAAAGTATTAGGTGCATTATAAATGTGAGCTATTATTATTGTTATTATATGGCTAAAAATCTCACTGCTTCATAAGCAGAACAATGTGCATTATACACTTACTCAACATGGTGATGTGTGAGTGTTGCACACGCACTAACCTGGTTACAATATAGATGCCTCCTTTCAAGTTCTAATGAAAACCTGTTGAATAGCCATGTGCATTTCTAGTATCGACTATTCTCTCTCTTTTTCCCTGTTATGCAGAGGGAACAGGAGAGTTCATTGATGCATGGCTGTCTCTCATAGAGAAGCTGGTCAACCCAGAGTCGGTGTTGGACTCTCCGCATGCCATGCCTGCCAAGGGTACAGTTCCTGGCTACACACCCTTCAATCCTGTTCAGTTCCTCATCAATACACACAAGGTAAGAATGACAACAATCATAAAATAGAAAGGAGTGCTCTGCTCCTCATTAGCAAACAAGGAAACTGATTGGTGAACAAGTATATCAGGATGGTTTTAATCATTAGAAATTATTTCTGCGACACATCCTAAAGGTATTTAATGACTATAGATCAGACACCTTCGTCAGATCTGGTAAATACCTTATTGATGTGTGAAAGTACTAATTCCTAAGGAAATTGATAAAATTGCTTCTGGAATCCATACCGCAACTGTGATAATCATGTTCTAGGTATTAAGCTTTTATTTAACAATATAAAATGTATTTTTAGTGACTTTTGTTTTGTCAAGGATAGTCCAATCAAATGGTGCCTCAATTGAGCAATTCTGGTGATTTTAGAGTAATGACTTTGTAGAACATGATTGGGATATGATAAACTGATAAGCCTCATTGCAGTATTTCAAGTTTATAACTGATCATTATGTTCCTTTCCATCCTTTTACCTTTTTTAGTCTGCATTCAATGTGATCATGAACCTGTGGGGTTGCCGATCTCTGAAGTCTCTGGGCAACCATACAGCTGAGAGCCTCCTGGCCATCCTATGCCACATCGTACGCGGTGAATCCGTCATTGCTGAGCGGGTCAAGCAGGCCAAGAGTGAGGAGGCTGGGAGTAGCGCTGCAGAGGGGTCATCAACCGGTGGGCCTAGCACATCATCAGGTTCGGCTGGTTTCAGTAGGGCGACGCGGGGGCTGTTTGAGTCTGGATTCCTGACTGGGTTGAGCAGGACCAGTAGCAGACCACGAGCTGAACCCAATGAGGACCATGTCAGACAGGTAAAGATGTCTTTCATTATTAGAGCTCTAAGATTAGCAAAACATCCTTATATCTGTTTTCATGAACTTCTTATGTTTTGTGGTGGCTAAAGGGATAGGTTTATTATTTGGAGGGGATACTGATGTTTTTTTAAATGAAAGTCTTCTTTGATATGCTGACACTTAAACAAAATTTATGCTTGGTAAGCAGAGTATAGACGGAAGTGAACATCTGGGTTAAGCACTGTCCCATCTAGTTTCTAGTATGATGTTCACATTCCATGGGCAAATATTTCAATTCTTGCAATACTGTGCAGCTTGCTTACTTCAGAAAGTGTCTTTGTCAGAATTAAATTTGTTGCTGATGATGTTTAACCTATATTTTGAATTTTTACAATCTTATGATTTGATTTGACTTGTTTAGTTTGTGATAGCTCACCAGCAGTACCTTGCATTCTTGACTCATTCACTGCATTATTCCTCTTATTAGCTGATGGACATGGGCTTCACAAGGGAGCATACGTTAGAGGCTCTACAGCAGTCTACCACCCTTGAAAGAGCAGCTGAGTGGGCTCTTACACATCCACCAAGACTTCCTCAGGTAAATATACCACTGACATTGTAAACACTTTATCAGGTTATCAAATTATGATGAATAATTATCATTGACCAATACCCATCTTTTAAAGGAGCAAAGTTGGTGTGTATAGTGCTGTTATGCTTTTGTGTTTTTTTTTTCTCCAAGACTACATGTAATGTGCTAAACATGATATAAAATTGAATCATAAAATAATCGTAATTAGGGATACACAATGCCTGTGTGCGCATTGCAGGCATTGACAAGTGGGCATAATCATTCTGAAATATTTTAGAACTTTGTTGGAAAGAAAATTGTGTTTAAATTGTAGACCATCCTTTCTCTGGATGTTACAAAACACAAAGAAAATCAGACTGTACCCTTTACAGCAAGACACAACTTGAATTGTAGTCGTATTTCATAGGATGTTAAAGTTGTCAATAAAATTAATAGAAGAATCGGCTTAACACTGTTCCACTTTCTCCTTGTTTCTGAACTCTTGATCATTTGTTTACATTAGACTTTTGGAACAGGACTGAGTGAAGAGGAAGAAATGATGCAAGCCATAGCTATGTCTCTTGGAGAAGCAATCCAACCATCAGTAGATCAACAGGTAAGAAGATTTTTTGGTAGTAATGGTGATTGGGCCTAATGGTGATGCCTTTGAATATGTTTTAGTTATGAGGCAGGGAGTGTCATGATTATGATGCTGCTAAGTATTGTGCCTATGTAGGTCTTTAGAATGATGAGGAGGAGGGAGAGCTGGATGATAAGTTATATTTACATTTTGATATCAGAAGGTTTATTTTTGTCCCTTCTGGCTGCTGGTGATGATTATCATTGACCAATAAGAAGTTAGTAAAGAAGAAGTAACAATATTGGTTATGTTAATAGTAGTAAACTGTACATATTTACACTTCTTCTTGAGTTGGCTCAGTCGGTAAAGCGTCTGCCTGTCGAACCAAAGATCCTGGTTTCGAATCCCACCCAGGCGGATGACTGAAGCCTGTGTTGTGTGTTAACGTGCCCCTCCCCTTGTTCATAGACGCAGGCTATCTTAAGTGGAAAACACTCCGTCCTTCGGATAGGACGTTAAATGGAGGTCCCGTGTAGAGAAGAGTCACTACCTTTGCATGTTAAGAACCCACTGCACTATTCGTATAAGACTAGGGGGAACCCCGGTGTAGTGGTCAACCTGCACACAACCCAGTATAGTATGATAATACTCTGTAAAGAGGTATGTACTCAAAATGGAAGAAGAAGAAATAACAAAAGAAAATCTGTCATTGTGGATTACCCAATTTAATGTCTTGTATAATTCTTTCCTGTTCTTTTGAATATCTTCAGGAGGAGGAAAAGAAGAAGAAAGAGGAGGAGGAACGTAAGAAGAAAGAAGAGGAAGAAAGGAAGCAGAAGCTGATGGAGGAACAAGACAAGATTCCAGAGGAGGCTCCACTTGATAAGGCTATCCTCAATGAGTTTGTGGATTCTATGCTACCAGGATGTCTCAAGCTGCTGGATGATATTCCAGAAACTGTTTACAGGTCAGTAAAAACACATGTGCTTAATGTGCTTTTCATGATCATCAATGTTTTTATACCAAAATGTAAATACGTTTTTAATCGTTAATTTGGTTATGAAAAGCCTGATAAGTAAATGTAAGAACGTTTTTCTTGTATTTTACTTTGATTGAATTCATTCATATTTTGATTTTATTTCTAACAAAGATAGAGAAGTAAAATCAGGTTGAATCACCAACACATCTAAAAAATTAAGCATTGAATATATGTAGTGATGTAATGAAAAGAATGCCTAAACAAAACATTCTTTGGTGATTACAATAATACTACAACACTTGCATGATAACAGTATAATTTAAAATGTATGTCAAATTATCAATCAATCATTTATTTATTTTTCTTTTACATAAAAATACAAGCAAATAAACATTGATACGACAAAACAATGAAAATACAGAGTAATCAATATCATCGGCAATGTACACAAAAATGATTCACTTTACAATTTATATAAACTGAAAAAGAAGAACTTTAAGAAAGCCTATGATGGCGTTGTGAGACAAAGTTCCCAGTAATATATTTGTTCAAATGTTATGATATATATCAAATGTTTGACATACATCTTCTATTTCTTTGATTTGACAGAGTGTGTGATCTACTAGTGGTGGCCAATAACAGGAATGGCACTGAATGGAGGGACAAGATGCTCGAAATGGTTATCAGTCAGGTAAGCATTCTCATGCTTATCTGCCAAATAAAAAAATTGATTTATTTTTGCTTGGTTATCCATTTTTATCTTTCTATCTTTTCATTTCATTCTTGCTTCATGTTCAGCTTTTTCTTTCCCACTTCCCCACTTCTCTATCCTGCCTTTGTCTTTATAGGTTCTAAGTGTGAAATGCATACTGAATCGGTCATCGCAATGGGTTTTCTTTGTATTTATTTGTATTTGTATCTTATAATCATGTCTGTCAATTTAAAAATGGGAATGCATGTAAAATTTGAATAACAAAGACACAAATTCCAACGAAATTTTAGTGATTATAATCCTTCAAACAATTTTGTTGTTTGTGTTGCAGATATCTGAGAATGCTCGGTTGTTGTGCAATAGCTTTGCCAGTATTTTAGTGGATCCAGCTGGAGTGACGGATCCGAAGGTCATAGAAAACTTATCATCATGTCTGGCCTCTAGAATTCACCTTCTCTGCCTTCTCTTCGAGGTAAGTAATCAATTGTACAACATATGCTCCCCTGACAATCAGCAGTAACATTTCTGATGATACTTGAATAGTTAACCCAACACAAAGCTTCTGTTCAACCTCATACAGAAATGCAATCCAAGACCTAACCCTCAGCGGTATATATTTGACAAAATGTAGCCCTGAGCAAATGCCAGCTCACCTAGTAATCAGAACAACTCTGTCAAACATCTTTTTCATGTATGTTTGTCGGAAAAGTAATTGTCATATTTCTGAAATTAAATTTGTCAGTTATCTATTGACATTGTACGAGATCGGAAGAGTGTAATAGCATGTACACTTTACTCTTGTTTCTTCTAGAATGAGTATGGAGATTGCCTTTTAGAGTTACTATTATCTTGGTAGACAGCTCACATTCATATTACATAAGGTCATTGTGCATGGATAAAAAGGTATCACTCCCCTTACAGGAAGGTTTCAAAGTTTATCTGAACTAATCCTATCCCTAACCTTGTTTGTACCATTTGCAGGAGATTCGGATGGCTTGTGCTCAGAGAGTGGAGGCCTCAAACATCCTTGATACACTCATTACACTGCTCTACACTGCACAAAAATGGATGGCTCAGATGAAGCTCACCAAAACACCGAAGTATGAACCATTCTTACCTAAATTAGTGTTCTTTGTACTTTTATGTAAATGTTTTATTATATCAAGTATTGCTTGTAAGTGTATGCACCCTATCATGCTTGGTTGTAATTTTTCTTGTCAAGTCCAGAATTATTCCAAGTCCTGTGATATGAGGGTAGATATTAGAAGGGAAACAAAATTAGATATTGCCTTTGTTTATTAGGTTTGTACTCAATATTTGCTTGATTTGTCAAAGATTCAGATTTGTCATCATTCAAGTACTTGTATATATTGTTGTATAACTCCATACTTTGATATCCATGCCAGCATTATGAGTATGATATAAAAAAAAAAGAACTACCAGACATTACTTCAAGGATTCTCTCCAAGATAATGGATATTAAGCAAGCGAAGTAATAAAATGTCTAGCATAAATATATATCGGCACCAGATTGATGTTAATTGTGAATGTTTGGTCTTGTTTACCTTAGGTGGATGGGTCCAGCAATGCTTCTTATTGATCTCTATGAGAAAACTGTCCTCACATGCAAGAGGAAGGTGGCACAACAGGTAAACATAATGTTGTTTGTATTTGGTTGTTGGTTCTTGATACATTAAGAATGAACAACCTGACTGCTAAGAAAGCATATGTGCTTGTAAGCAACCAGACGGCCGACGGCTTTACGTCCTCTCCGAGGGACCTGGTAATGAGCTTTTCAGTGGACCTCTCCATTTCCTCAAAATATAAATGCAGTTAAATTTTAAAATTCATTTTTTGTCTTCCTAAAATGTATAAATTATTATTAAGATTTGTTTATTACAAACGTTACTATGTTTTGTATACATTTTACATTATATTCGTTATTATGTATTGTATTTTGTTGGAAATGAAAAAATAAAAATGAAATGAAAAATGAAATGAGGATTAATGCCTTACCAAAAAGCTCTATCCCATCGACTTGGTTTCGAACCCGGGTCACCGAATTACGAGACCACTGCTCTACCAACTAAGCTATCGCACCTCCTCCTATGCACTTAACAACTCCCAGGAAACTCCATGTCTCATTCAGCTGTCATCTTGTGTTCACAATTTGATATCCATTAAAAGATTACCGTTTCATATGGCCTTACCCAGGACTTATCTAAAGACTTGTGTGTATATCAATAAAATCAAAATGATACAGAAGTACGATGTTCATTGAAAATTTCCTTTTGGCAGTGCATATTAAAACGTAGTAGTTCTCATACTAATGTGCTTTTCTTATGCTATTCAAGGGTGCCTCCCATACCTGGAAGTGGTTCGATGACTCCACCGGCCGCTGGTGTACCTACAGCCGTAGTAACAACAAGACCATAGACGATGCTTACTGGGCAGGCAAACCTAGTGTGAAGTTCACTGCTGCCAGGAGAAGATATGTTGTACACTTCAACACCATGATACAGGTGAATAGCAACAAAACTGCAAGGAATGGATGACAGTATGTCTACAACACCGTGTATACCCTTAGGTTATATTGATTATTCATTGGGAAGAATACTCTTTCATTTCTAACAAAAATTACTTGCAAACTTCTCAATTCTTTTCGATTGAAGAAATGCCTTTATCCTTTGCATGAATGTGAAGAACCTATTCTCTCCGTTCCCCTTCAGTATATTTTCGACTGTGCCTGGCTTTTTCGAAATATACGTCTTGTGTATTTTCCAATAATACACAATTTCTATTGCTTTCTCTCTGCATTTTTGGTAAATGACTCTTCCTCCCTTTAAAAAAGAAGAATTTTCATGCCAAATGTGATATACTTTCTTCGCCTTCTTTCCTCATACTGTATATGTCTGTATCTTTTTTGTCATAGGTGAATGAAGAGACGATGAACAAGAGGCCCATCATGCAGGCCTTGCCCGCCCCAAAGACTGAGGAAGACAAAGGTGATAAGAAGGAGGACGATGGAGAGAGAGAAGCCAAGAAACTCAAGACCAGTGAGAGTCTGGAATCTGCTGCAAAAGCAGAAGGTAAGAAATGAATTAGATTTGATGAGGTAAATCTTTACAAAGATACAACAAATTATTAGGTATATATGATGATACAAACTATAGAAATCAATAATGTATCTGGTAAATACTGATTGGTTTGTGTATATGAATGGTGCAAACTGTTACATTTTGTGTTAATTTAAAATGTTTACCACTTGCTATATCCTGCTTTTGAAAGCAAAGTGAAATGATTAAAAGCAGTGTTCTTTGGATGTTAAATGCAGATGGTTAAACAAATAATTTGCATGAAGAATTGAACTATTCCAGTTGTTATGATAAATATGTCATTTTGGAGGAATAAGATTGCACAACTATAATACTATTTTTATTGTGAGAATTTTGTTTTCTTCCCCATTTTCTCTTTTAGTTGCAGGAACAAGCCAAGAGAGTAAGGATGAAACCATTGCCAAAGAACCTGAAATCGTTGAGATTCAAGGACTAGGAGACAAAGAAATTCCAACTCTGATCAGGTATACCACATTTGCCTTATCGAAACTTTATGAAACTTTATGTAATTTTATATAAATTTAAATAATAATATTTCCTCAGTTTAATTTTACAAATCATGACCATTGCAGTCTTTTATGGGATAAGATGTCTATCGCTTAAAATATTCATCGTCAGGACATAATAATGGGTTTGCATACATGGTTGGATTTTGTATGACATTTGACTTTGTGCTTATCATTCTCTACTTTAATGGAGGACAAAAAAGTTTCATGAATCAATACAGTTACTAATCAGGAGAAGACATACAATTTTCTGTATGTCCTTAATATACTAAAAACTCTATTTGTTGTCTTTCTCAGGGCATGCGTTGGTCTGATCGGCGTGCCAGTGGATCCAGACACCATGCATGCCGTCCTGAGGATATGCCTACGCTTCACCCGGGATCATACCAGCGCCCTCCTGTTTGCAGAGCTCGGTGGACCACGTCTCTTGCTCTCTCTCACCCAAGCATCCTCCTTCAATAGCTTCCCAATCCTAGCCAACCTACTTCTCAGACATGTCTTTGAAGAGAGGATGGTGCTTCAGAATACAATGGACAAGGTAATGCTCCAGATTATAAACAACATAAAATTTTGTTCATTTTTCATAATTTGAGTAAGAGACTTGCATGTGGGAAGTAGAAAACTTCTGTTCAATAGGGAATTGATTTTGTCACAATTTTGTCATGTGCACTAGATGAATTAAGATAGGATAGGACTACTAAAATACATTAAGATTTCAAATATACATAGCATAGTATATGTACACATAGAGAACAACAACATGTAACTATTTCTGACATGTATTTAAATTGTAGATAGTTTAAAGAAATGTTGTGTATGTGTATGGTCTTGTCTGTTTGTTATGGTTTTGGTTTAATTTTCGGTCAGCTGTAACTTTGAATCAGTGATGGAAGAAAATGTTTCAGGAAGAAAAATGATACACAGACACCTAGTCTATACTGTCATTTGAAGGTATTATTGTAGCCTTGTTTAATCAAATGTTTCAGCTCACTCATACCTTCTTCAAACAATCTTGTCTTGTTGAATACAGTTAATCTATGCAGTAGCCAACAAGGGAGTTGGATGCAACACATGCAATGTTGCACTGGGCAGTGTGGGATGCAGAGAAATGAACTTTGTTCTCAGGAAGCTTGGACCTTTAGCGTGTCGGGACCAGGAACTGTTCATGAACTCGGCTAGAGGTAGCCTCAAGATCGCTCTTCCTCCTGCAAAGAGGGGTAAATATGACAAAAATGACAAAAATGACAAACGATCTATTTCAAGCATGCTGTAGGGCAATATAGAGACTTTACCGACGGTTGTGAAATGACTGTTAGCTTTGATGTTGAGAACCATGAAGTTTGTCTCAGGCTATACTCTCTACTGTCTCCTCATTAAAGATGGATTCATCGCTTAATATAAGAAGACAACTTTCTTTAAATTCCTTGTGGTTTAGATAGCCCAATATATAACTTAGTACAGACTACAGAGTATCAAATGTTAATTATGTTAATCATGTTAAGCATTGAGAAATATCACATGTTATATTTTTAGGAAATGTTCATGAAAGTAATGATGGCTTCTTTTCCCATTTATGAAGATTTCAATTTCAATTAACTTGCATTTCCATAGATTTCATCCCAAGTTATCTTAGGCTCAGTATTCAATGGCTAAAGTCTACATGAACTAGTTGCTTGGACAAACTAGATGTCTTCTTTAGTGTTAGATGCTGCTTATAAGTATCGGCTTGCATGGTGATGTAGATGTACAGTAGACTCCCCAATCCTCCCTCTCTCATGGTGCAACCGCAAGCCTTCTGTATATTTCTAGTGTTGTGTAGAAATCTTAATCAAGCAGTTTGAACTATTTTTATGCCTCCGCTACAAAGTAGCCGGAGGCATTATGTTTTCTGGTTGTCCGTCCGTCCGTACGTCCGTACGTCCGTACGTCCGTCTGTCCGTACGTCCCGTTCTCGTGATCGCGTTATCTCAAGAACCAATTGATGGATTCTCTCTAAACTTGGATCATATATGTATCTTGCAGAGCCAATGAACTGATTAGATTTTGGGGTCACGAGGTCGAAGGTCAAATGTCACAGGGCTCATTATGTATTCAAAAATAGCTTGTGATCGCAATATCTCAAGAACCGATCAATGGATTCCTGCCAAACTTGGGTCATATATGTATCTAACAGAGCCAATGAACTGATTAGATTTTGGGGTCACGAGGTCGGAGGTCAAAGGTCACAGGGCTCATTATGTATACAAAAATAGCTTGTGATCGCGTTATCTCAAGAACCGATCGATGGATTCGTGCCAAACTTGGGTCATGTATGTATCTAACAGAGCCAATGGACTGATTAGATTTTGGGGTCACGAGGTCGAAGGTCACAGGGCTCATTATGTCTACAAAAATAGCTCGTGATCGAGTTATCTCAAGAACCGGTCAATGGATTCCTGCCAAACTTGGGTCATGTATGTATCTAACAGAGCCAATGAACTGATTATATTTTGAGGTCACGAGGTCAAAGGTCACAGGGCTCATTATGTATGCACAAATAGCTTGTGATCGCATTATAATGAGAACCAATAGACAGATTACTATCAAACTCAAGACATGTATATATGTATCTTGCAGAGCCAATTAACTGATTAGATTTTAGGGTCATCAGGTCAAAGGTCATGGGGCTCATTATGTATGACTATAAATAGCTTGTGAATGCATTATTATTAAAACCGACAGATGGATTACAATCAAACTTGAATTTTAAAAATTGCTTCCGTTTTGGTTTGTAAAGTTGCTCTATGGCGGAGGCATCATTTTTGACTGCGCGCAGTCAAAATTCCATCTAGTTTTAACCATCTTTATACAATTTATGTTGCATCCATCATCAGGAGAAGAGGATGAATCTCGCTACACAGGACCCAATGCTCTACAGCTCTTGAAGGCCTTGGCCCCTAAGACCTTCACACCACCTACTCTGAATGGACCTATGCTGCAGGTTCTCTGCGATCTCCTGGATGCCTTGATTGTACCTGTCCTACCTTCACAACAAGGTGAGAATCAGTACATGGTATATATCGCATCGTAGCTGAAGTATTGAGGACCCAAATATATATATATATTGAATAATGACTAATGGGACATGTTTGGTACTCTGAGTTTCACGCCTTGCAAGCAATCATCAGGCAACTGCTAACATTCTTAAAAGTACATGATTACTCTACAACCTTGGTACAAATACGCTCAAAATAAGACTTAACTAATACAATACATTACAATAAGAATTACTAATGGGTGAAGGGGCTATTGTTAATGCTCAGGTGCTGCGTTGGATATATATAGACATTAAGACACAATTAAGACATTATTGAATTTGTCATGTGCTTGATTTAATGGTTTATGTGATTTATTAGAGATACAATCTAAGACACATTCTCCTATCTCACAGAAGACAAGGAAGCAAAGTCTAAACAACCACAACCAACAGCCACAGCCTCGGCCAGTGCTCCTGCAGCCACTGGAGTGGCTAGTGCCGAAGGGGCAGTTGCAGCTGCTGCTGCGGCTGCCGCTGCTGCAGTCTCTGACATCCAAACATCAGAAGACATAGGAATGGGACTAAGGGAAATTGGAGACAGACTGCTTGGGATCTACAGCGGAAGGAGAGGTCCTCCAAGAACAGCAGAGAGGCTCAACAGTGTCCCTGATGGTGCTGTACAAGAAGAGGTACCCAGATTAGACATTTTTCCTCTAGAGATGATGTTCTTATCCCTTTTTTTCTTTACTAGCTTCTCTCCCAAACTTCTTGTGTGTCACTTTCCATTTATATTTATATTGTGATTAGTTTCACCCCTTCTTGTATTTCCTATATGCCCTTAAATATGTTTGATGTTCCAAAGCTTCTTATTCATTCTCTCAAACACTTAATACCTGATTTCATGAATATCTATGTATATAGAAATACAAGAATATACAAGAAATGCTTGAGATAAGATATAAAAAGTAAACCCTTTTTTTTCTATCAATGTTTCCATGGAGTAAATTAAAACTTGTGTATCATTCTACACAGCCTCATGATGCTTCAACATCCGGTGCTGAGGCAGGGAGCCCCCCTGTAACCACGGACTCCAAGAAGACTCCTGCCTCATCAGCAGGAACAACTGGACAGACCCCCTCTAAAGATGAAACATCCAAGAGCAAACTCCTGATCCCCAAGTCGGCCATCTTACGTCTGCTGGCCGAGCTGGTCATGTCGTATGCAGGCATTGCGCAGGCCGTGGCCCAGTACCAGTACATGGTTGGTCAGGCAAAGCATGTTAAAGAGGTATGTGGAAATGTATCAGGAGTATAGTCCGATTACTTTAGTGTTAAATGCATGCCTGCATGAAAATGTTGTCTAAATGTTTTGCTATACGTCCCGCTTTAGTATGTTTTAAATCTGTATTTTCATTGATAATTGGCCAGGCATTGAAATTATGCTTGATTTTCTATTAAGGCAAAGATAAACAAATTCTTTTGTGTGTGTGTGAAATCGAAATTTCGATCATATTTCATTTCACGACATTGTTAAAATGGAAAGAAGGTAAATTTAGTGACAAGCTTTTTATACTATTTTATATTTTGCACAAGAAAGTGCCCTTGTTTCTTGATCCAGTAGAAACCAGGTCTCATACTTTTGCTACATTAATAGCCATTGATCAATGTTTTGCATTTCTAATTTGTTAATAGCTTTGCATGATTGCTCATTGTCAGACAATTCCTTTTCTTCTTTTATGCTATTGTTACTTCTGCATTATGCTTTCTGTATTACCTTCTAGCTTGTAATTTATAATAACAGGGATTTAAGGTAGCAAGTTATCCAAAGGATGCCAACAAACATTTTATTTTGAAGAATTGCATTTGCTAATTTTTAAATTGGTGTAAGAGAATCCATTAGCAACCCCCCCCCTTCATTTATCATTAATCTTAAACTCTTCAAATCTTCAAATTACTTGTGAGCAATATTTGCACTGATTGCTACAAGTTAGGTTTAAACTAATTATTGCGGACACTTTTCATTGCTATTAGATTGATCACATTTACTGTTAGCAGTAATGTACAACATTGACTGAATAGTGCTAAATATAAGATCCTTGGTATCCTATGTTTGCTATACGCCCTTTCTCAGTAGTATCTCTTTTGTATAAAGTAGTTATAAAACATGCAAGTGATGCCTAGGTGTTGTGGCGTGCCCCTGTAATCTAGCTAACAATGGAAGTTACAAACTAATTCAGCCGAGGACGCAGGTTTGAAACTGAATCGCGTCTTTCAGATGGTGACGTAAAAGGTCGGTCCTCAGATGTAAATAATCATATCTGATTGATCAATGTCTGTAAAAATTCAATCACACACTCTATGTTATTCTTTCAGGATGGAGCTGCACTGGCATACATCTTGGACCATCTACTACCACAGTGCCAGAAGGCAGGGGACAAGGACTGTCCTGGCCTGGCTCAGGTTCTGCTTGCCAGTATAGCTGCCAGTAACCATAGTCCAGATGCTCAGATGCTCCTTGTCACAGAGATCAAGGGGGCCCTTGGGAGAGCCTTGGCTATGCCAGAAAGCAGTGAGAAACATTCTCGCATTCAAGCACTTACAAGTAAGTCATCTCTTCTAAAAACAAAAAAATCAATGTGTTGTTATTTTTATTTCCATTTTCTTGGATATGAAGTCATTTCATCACACAATTTAATGGTATTTTATATCTTGTAAACATTATGTAACAGTTGAAGAATGTTATAAGATGTATTTGAGAACCTTTTCATGTGAAAGATGAATGTATATTTGATACATCACAAAATTTAAAGGAAATTTTCAAATGAAGTTGTTATAGGTATTGTACTAAACTGGAATATGAAATATATGAAGTCCATACATAGTCTATAAGCCTTTTTAAAGGATTTGAAAATGATGACTTTTTTCATATTCTTCTCTTCCTTCAATTCTCTATCCAGTGTTGATCAGTGTGATGATCGAGGCATGTCCATCCTCCAGCTCCGCCCATCAGACAACGATCGGAACCACATCTTACAAGAACCAGCTCGGTGGTATGAACATCATCACCAGGCTTCTACTTCGCAAGGGACTCGTCACAGACCTAGCCCGGGTCCCTCACTCCCTGGACCTATCCAGCCCAAACATGGCCTCCACAATCAACTCAGCCCTCAAACCTCTGGAGACGCTGTCAAGGATTGTCAACCATCCACCGGTCGGACTGCGAGGGATCGGTAGGATCAAGAATGGTGCACACATCATCGATCCAAGGTCTGCCTCTACTGCTGATGCTACTGGTAAGTTCTAAAGTTCTCTTTGTGTTGTCCTTGTGTTGTCGAACCTATTAATACTTCTAAACTGCAGTCTCCTAGTTTGGATCTCGTAACCCCCGCAGTCAACTCCTTCAGTCAACTCCTTCAGCCAGTCTTGTTTCAAATTGTTTAAACTAGATTGCCCTAAATGAACTCTTGCTAATAGCTTTGATATCTTGCATTGCACAGCTCTCCCTTTGATTTGATGTGTTAACCAAGACAAAATCCCTATATTTGAATTCCTTATCTTTTTTAACATTCCAGATTTAGACAGACTTATTATACAAATTCTCTATGTGAATATATATCTTTGGAGCATTACCATTTGAACTCATATGTCACTGATAAGTGATGAAATGTATTCTGATGAGTAGAAAAGATTGTTCTGTCTTATGAATGAGATAAAAAGGATACATTGCAACCAACGGAGGCCTCTATACTGAAACCCCCGATCATGACATTTGTATTGCCTTTAATTTGCCACTTATGCTCATTCCTTTGTATGTTTGTTTCAACTTGCTTTCTACATGGAGTGACAATTTTCATAGCATTCACATATTCCGTCCTTAAAGAGTCTATCTGTAACAACCATTACATGACAATAGCCAAAACATTGTTTTAAATTTCATCCCTAAAACTAAATTTTGCTTAGTTTAAAAAAAAAACTCATGTGCCACCTTAAGAATAAGTATGATGGTGTCTTGCAAATCTTATTCTACTGTATTGCAGAGTATGGATGTGTACTGAGTACAACTTACAGTGAATGAAAAATTATGAAAGTCTGATGTTTTTAGTTTACCAGTTAATATGAAGAAGAATCTTTAGAAGGTGTGATGGGGTGCTTAAGCTAGAAATATATATTTCTTTCCCTTTAATTACTTCATTCTTTAACTTAAGCATCATAAAAAAATTGATGATAGGTGTGAAAATAGAACCTAAAAGTTTGTCCTGTCAACTTCTCTGTTGTTCAGGAGGTACAGGGCTGCGTTGTAGCATGGATGCAGCCATCCAGCGCTCAGCACAGGCTGGTGGTGGTGGTGGTGTCGGTGGCCGTCGTGCCCATACAGGTCAGATTTGCCTCTGATCGGAATATACATGGCATATGCATCCATTATTATATTATTTTGTTTACTCTCTAGTTCAATATTCATTTAGCCTTTCCACAAACCCCAAGATGTGCATAATGCATTGTAGATCACCTGCCCTGGTACAACGTATGCATGGCATTGTGCTCGGAGGAATATACCCTCATGCTTTCAGTTTCTAGCAAGAGAGCTTTTGTATCATGTCATGATGTATATCTAATGTGTTTGTTGTCTTGTATATATTTATTTACACTGATAATATTAGATATTAGATGGAGTAATCTTCTTTTATCCATACTAAACCAATGTACTGTTGAAAGAGGTCAACATATCTTTTTAGAACCCTGGAAGATTATTTCAGTTCTTTTATATACCTCTTATTTTTGCTCATTGTTACTAATCCATCATTCGGTTAAAGCCCCACTGCAGCTACTAGCTACTTGCGCCCTCTATGTAGCAAACAATACCTAATCGGTGACCGTTGGTCCCCATGGTCCCCTTTTTCTTATGTTAATTGAGAGTTGATTTGATGAGAACCACCTGTGAGTGACCATGCAGGGAGGTTTAAACTACTCCTGGCCAAACTAATGCAGATAGGCTTTTAAATCTTAGATTCTCACCCTATCCCATTAGTTATAGATAAAGGGAGTACACATTCCCATCCTGCACTATGTTGATGTGCACCTGTTCTGTCAAAAGATGGCATACTGTATATTTTATGTTCAACTAGCATAAAGTTGTCAGCTTGTTACAAATCCTTATTTCAATGTTTATTTCATTCATCCTTTCTCCCATCCCCCTTCCCTCTGTCTATGAATCAAATTTCTTTTGAAATAATTAGCTGTTTGTATTACGTATACCCATGCTTATTTTGTCTGTATTACCTCTGTGTTGTAAGTCTAGATCAAATATCTGTGGAGTTATGAGAGCATGGCTCGGGCTGTAATCTGTTAGTCATGAAAGCTCAGAGCAAAAAACATATTCAAAGAAATTAACAAAAGCAAAGTGCAATTTGTAAAGCCTTATAAGGGTGAGTCTTGTTTTTATAGACTCCCTCCAACCCTGTAATCTGAGGACTGATTTTACTCCAGATAAAATTGTGCGAGTTGTCTTGTGGCCTTTTTTTGGTACGCACAAAGGACTTTCAATTACCTGTACCATCATTTAGATTGTATACAGTAGAATTAATGTATTATAAATGATACAAGCTAATAAAGGAGAAACTAGAAAGCAAGAGAAAATTAGTATGCAGAAGTATTTTGAATGTCAAACAAATATTTTTACCCCCAATTCACAGGTGATGTCCATGAACATACACATATATTCATCAATCTCTATTCATCAATCTCTATTCATCACTGGCCTTTTAATTTTTTCTCCCTTCTGTTGGCATGTGTATTATCCATGTAATGCATGGCAACAGTGGTAGATCATGGAGCTTGAATGATATGTCATGTCTAATAGAATAAACATGCTTGATGTATATTGAATGTTATCTAATTTTTAAAAAAGTAGAGTAGTTTTGCTCTTGACTTGATGTCCTGTGGAATTGAATTACTATAAGATATGCAATTGTTTGTTTCTTCAGATCGGGAGTCTGTTGCTAATGTGTTGGGAGTACAGGATGACACCCAAGATTCTACAGACTTAGATGTAAGTTTTATGAATTAAATTTTCCTTTAGGTTTTAAGTGTTTAACAATATTTTGTTCATAACTCATAGCAAGATTTTAAGAAGTCCAGAGAAAAAATTAATTAAAATACAGCTGGTGGCATTTATTTGCAATTTGCATATAAATTCAAACCAAGTAGTTTAAGCCTTTCAGAACTGGAATGACAAGTTTCATATTGTCTTTAATTGTTCATCATTATACTTATCTTCAGCTGACAGCATAGTGCAGCATACTATAAAACAATTTTACCAAGGAACATGTAATACCTTTTTTTTATATAGGTATAGGGGTTAATTTTATTCCATTCTTCATAAAAAAAATATATATACAATAGATACAGAGTATAAAAATATGTGTATATATAATGCCTTTGCCTTTACATGACAAGACTTTTCTTCTAACAACTAACTCTAGAACATGCTTTGCAAGAACCCTGTATTATCATATTTTATTTCTATCGTTATTTATTTACTTTTTTATTTTGATGTTTTTGTCTTGTAGGATCAGGCAGATCTTGAGTGCATTGTTGATGAGCTGCTTGAAGGGACTGGTGGAAGCAGGGCTGAGGTTTTAGGAGAAACCCTCATCGCCACAGGACCTGAGAGACTGGGATCCCTCAGATCAGCCTTTGTGGATCAAGCAGGTATGTCAAAATCTGTATTACTTTGATGTAATCTGCTTAGAATCAGAAGGACAATAATCCTTCATTGATGCAATGCTGAATGAAGTGCTTCTGGTTGTTGTAAGATGTTATCTTTTAAAAGAGATTATAACCTGTTCTATGCCATTACATTTATGAACCTTTCTTAGAATTTAATTTTGAGTTTCAAATATTAAATTTGATGATTAATTTCTATGTCGATTTAGGCACCAAAAAACCACCATATGCTCAGAATCATATGACTTTAGTAGCTTACACAGAGATGCCAACTGTTTCGTTTTTGGCGTATTTGTTCCGTTTTTTCGCTATGAATACTGCAGTACGTTTTTTGTATGTTTTGTTATGTTTTTTAAATTTTTTAATTTTTTTTTTTTTTTTTTTTTTTTTTTTTTTTTTTTTTTTTTTAGTGATGTTTTTCTTAATTTCTGATCATGGGCTTTGTAAGAGTATTATGCACCTACATATTAAAACAATGCACGCAGGATGGTGATACGGGCCCCAAACTGCGCACATTGCGAACAACCCACGTGTAATGTATGCACGTCGCGCTCTGATCCGGGTATGTATACGTGGTACTGCCTGGTTTTTTAAGCTGCTCGATTGGGCGATATTTTAAGTTGAGAGATTTTTTCAAAAATACTGTTTTTTGCTCTTAAGAATACTTTTTTTTGTTGAAGAAGGTTGGCATCTCTGCTTACAATGTCTGTTTTTCTTTTAAGAGGACAGAAACCAATAACTATTTGTTCACACATTTGTTGCAACAAAAATAGTCATGGAATGTAAATGCATCAGGTTTTCAAGGTGAATTTTTCTGTTTGAATATGTACTTTGCTGGAGTATTAAATATTAATTAAAACCATAATAGATTTGACAAACTAAGTGGGTGGTTTTACTTTTGTTTGTGTCTTCAGTCGTAAAGGATCATACAACATGAATCTTTTGTTTGTAGGTGAAGCATCCCAAGATGAGATGGTAATCACCATGACGGATGATGGAGAGGAGATGGACCAATCTCTAGGTGATGCAGAGATGAGAAGTCAGCATAGTCACGAAGGAGTCAGAACAGGTTAGTCAATAGTTCTGGTCATAGTAGGGTAGGGTTAGGATGAGATATTGATCATCATGACTGGTGATGGTGAGAAGATGGGTCAATGCTAAGTAGGGAAGTCAGCAAAGTCATAAAGTCCATAAGAGAGCTAATGGTAGAGTTAGGGTAGGGTTAGGGTAAGTTAGTCAGACAGTGAAGAGATGAATCGATCTCCAGGTGATGCAGAGATGAGAAGTCAGCATAGTCATGAAGGAGTCAGAACAGGTTAGTCGATATTGATGGTCATAGTAGGGGTAGGGTTAGGATGAGATGGTGATCATCGTGACTGGCGATGGTGAGGAGATGGTTCGATGCTAAGTAGGGAAGTCAGCAAAGTCATGAAGGAGTCAGAACATGCAAGTCCATAAGAGAGGTTAGGGTAAGTTAGTCATTGGAAGTGGTTATGGTAGGGTTAGGGTAAGTAAGTCAATAGTAACTAGTGGTTAGGGTAAGTTAGTCATTAGTGATGGTTAGGGTTAGGATAAGATTTTCATCACCATGACGAATGACAGAGAAGAGATGAATCGATCTCTAGGTGATGCTGAGATGAAAAGTCAGCATAGTCTTCATGAAGGAGTCAGAAAAGGTTAGTCAGTAATTCTGGTCATAGTAGGGTTAGGATGAGAGAGTGATGACAGAATATCCCCATTTGTCATGTTGAATGATCATCATTTAGCTTAATAATTCTTATCTATGGAAAAGAAGATTTTGTATTAGAGTGCAGGCCAATTACATGTATTATTTTAACTGAAAGAGAAAAGAAGTTAAATTACAGATGTTTGTATTTTTTCTGCAGACATCGATGCTGATGATGACAGTGTTCAGGATGAAGATTCTGCGGCTGAAAGTGATTCTGATGAAGGCAATGAAGATAGACAGGTAAGAAGAAGCAATTTGCTTTCCTTAGATTCCTTTGCCATTTCCAGTTCTTTAACCATGGTAATGCAATGTCTCACTTTCATTGATATGTTTTCTGCATGAATCTAAAACTATTAAAGTAGTTATCATGATTTGTAATTCAGAATCCTAAGTTTTGTTTGTTAAGATTACATGTAATATTTCATTGAATAGAAATTTGCTTTTGTCGTCCGTGATGTTCTAATGTGGAAGTGATGAAGCATATGTTTTCCTCCCTGTCACCATTAAACCTTTAGGATGAAGGTGAAGAAGACGAGGAGGATGAAGAGGACGACGAGGAGGAAGAAGAGGAAGATGAAGAGGATCACGATGACGGCTCGGAGATGGATGCAGAAGACTATGACATCACTGAAGATCTGGACTACTTCAGGGTCGGTGATCGGGATGAGGATATGTGGGTTGGAGACCCAGATGAGGACATGCTGATTCAATTGGATCCTGTATTCTCAGGTAAGTCACGGAGCCAAATATGTGTAGGACATCAAATATGTTGTACTTTTGAGTCCAAGTGATTTGCACGCCAACTTTCCCATCCTACCAAAACCGCTCTTTTCAGAGCCACCACATACCCAAGAAAGTACCCATACATTGATCTACATTTAGAATTTTAGTTCTCAATCTGTTTCCTTGATGAGCACCATTGAAAAACCTTGTATTTAGTCTGATTAACCAATGGCTTCTTGGTGGTGCAATACAAAATACACAACTAAAGCAACTCCTAAATACTTGAAAAGTAAACGACTGTCAGTTACTCAAGAACGCAGTTGGGAAATAATCTTAATATCATTTCAAGTTTGAATTATAAATCCAAGTATAATGACGAGTGCAGTAAAGATAACATTATGCACCATTGAAAAACCTTTTATTTGTTTTGCAAGATTCAAGGCTTCTTAGTGGTGCCATATCAAAATCTCAATCAAAACAAAGCATCAGTCTGTTTACCTTTCTTTACATGTGGTCTACAGAAGCTAAGTTTTGGACATAGATATTTTATTTCTTTTTCCTTTTGTGGCTGAAATCCATTTCTCTTCATTATTCTATTCTTCATATATTTTTTGTGAGGTATGATGTATTTCCATGTCTCCTGTGATGTTTTATTTATGATAATAGCTGTACAGTTTAAATCCCATTGTCATCCACCTAGGTATGGGATTTCATGAGTTATCAAGACAAACATGTGTGTATATCTTATTGAGACACATGATGGAGTTCATTAGATTCAGTTCACATTGATAATCACCTGTTGAGGAATTTAGCAATATTTTGATATGAGATGTCATCATCATGTATTAAAGACATTGCGATTTGTCCATCTTATGTGAATTTCACCAGTTGATCAATTTTTCTTGTATTAGGTGTTCCTGCATCAATAAGAACGTACCAACTTCCTGTGGCTATCCATGAAGATACCAGGAATGCAAATGATGTCTCAGGTAGGTTCAATTCATTCAAATCCATCCTTATCATCCCATCCTTTTGTGAATTATTCTTTCTTCCAGAACAATGATTTCCCTTTGCCATCTATAATTTTGAAATACTAATACATCATTGAATAGGCAAAAAGTTGATAGATAACTGTAGAATGTTAAACAGTGTAAGACTGTAAAGATGTTGTATGAGTAAATACATTGTTGAGAATCCTTGTAGAACTCATCATATTGGGCTTGTGCTAGCTGTACTTCAACCAAGAAATCTCTGACTTGAATCTCAAATCATGGATAGTCCTCAGAACATGAAAGCTCTAAATCGCAACTACTTTCATTCCTACCTATGCAGCTCCTAACATCCCGGTCCCTCCAAGCGTAATCTCAGCCAGCCACCCCCTCCTGGTCAGACACAGTGACCACACGAACCTGACCCACGGTGTGAGCCAGACCAATCGTAATCAGAGGGTCGCTAGACAGAGGGTCAATCGTCATGGTACAACACAGACTGTTCACATCTACCACTCTGGAGCAACAAGGCCACCCAATGTCCAGAATGTCCTGAGGTAACTATTGAATTTCGCTGGATTGTGTTTCTTTGGTTGTATGTGGAGGTACAGTTCATCTAAACAATTAAAATTAGAAGAAATAGATGTTGCCGGTTTTCTTAAACTTAATATTGTTAGGGTAGCATGTGTGACCCATTGACTTTTGTTTTCGTTTAATCTGGTAGATTTCGATACAGTAGCCAACTGGTTTTGTAAGCAATGGACAAAGTAAATTATAATATAATGGTTTCATTTATTGAACACATATTAATTGCAATTAGTGATTGTCCATCTAGTATTTTGGAAATGGCTGCAGGTTTTTTTTACCAACAATTATATATGAATGTTCTAGTTACCACACATTGATCTACATTAAGAATTTTAGTTCTCAATCTGTTTCCTTGATTAGCACCATTGAAAAACCTTGTGTTTAGTCTGATTAACCCATGGCTTCTTGGTGAGTGCAATATTATACAACTAAAGCAAAGCATCAGTCTGTTTACCTTTCTATAAATGTGGTCTACAGAAGCTAAGTTTTGAACAGTGATATTTTCTTCCTTTTTCCTTTTTTTGGCTGAAATCCATTTGCCTTTATCACCCTATTCTTAGTTTTATGGGTGAAGTATGACTTATTCCTGTAAGTCTCCTGTGAAGTTTTATAACAATGTTTTGGGGAGAAATAATTGATTTTCAAGAACACGAGCATGTATTTATGTGAAAATGTGAGAAGTATTTGACAAGCCGAAGCCATAGGCAAGGTTCATCTAATGAGGCCTAAAAAAAAAAGATGTTGTATTACCCTTTAGGTGCCAGAATCTGGGTCGGTCGATCAGATTTTTTTGTTCCCCCTATCATAACAGCAACCGTTGCCCGAAAAACTCACAACCGGGAACGTTGCCCAAATCTCGCTGTTTTCTAGCCGGTGCAGTGCATACTACGCTAGCAGGATTTCAAAACTAGGGCAGAAGTCGAGCGAGAATTTTGGAATAATTTGATGATTTTATGCATTTATATCCCATTTAAACAAACAAAATATATATTTTGTTATTCATTGAAAAAAAATTCTTCTTTTTTTTTAAATATTAAGGAGCCGACCGTAGATTTTAAGATTTTTGGGTCGGTCGCAATACAACATCTTTTTTGTTTACGCCTGATCAGCAGGCATTACAATTCCTCCCTACCCAGGCTGCTGGGCCTGTCATCGTCGACTGACATCGTCCAGCTGACCACCACAAGCACGGGTCAGGGAAACCAGACCAGGGTGTACGTTGCCAACTCTGGAGAGGACATCAACCAGAACCGAGAGGAGGTGTCCGATATCTTTGAGGAGGGGTACAACATGGGGTATTTCAGCGGTTCCAACTTCCTATCTGTGGTGCCTCCTGTGTACAGACGATGGGACGAAGAGAGCAAGGTGCTAGATGGAAGAAGTGTTCATGATTGTGTGCAGGGTAAGTCATAATCTAAAGACCCTATCAGATGAAAATACAGTTTTATGTAAATGGAAAGCAGAATGAATGTAGAATACAAATGTTAAAGAATAAAAGATGTTTTTAAACTTTATTTTCCACACCCCTCCAAATTAAACGGTCAAATTTTGTCAAAGTTACAGTGACGCCATAACATGTGGACCCATTTGGCTTGCCTATATAGCCGAGGCTATGAGCCGTGCTTATTGAATGCAAAATTATTGTGAATATTTGAATTCCACATAAGATGATGTCATCAGGTCAATAGCTAGTTTTTAGGTTGACAAAGCTTTAGATTTCAAATTTTTAGAGAGCTGTTACTCCTCTGACAGACACTAAAATAGCATATGTAATCAATCTATTTAGTTTTACATTTCTGACAGGGTCTTTACTACAACATTGACGATTGTGATTGTTTCATGCAATTTAGAAGTAAAACCAGTAGAGGTACAGTTGAATTTAGTGGGATTGATGTGATTTATTCCTGGTATAACGGAGGAATATCCTCCCTCCTTTTTCAAAATGTTTCTTTTCACTTGTCAAAACACCAAAATGCTTGGAGTATCAATGCCTATATACTAGAAAAGTAAACGACTGTCATTTACAGCAAGAATGCAGTTGGGAAATAAGTTTTAATTATAAATCCAAGTATAAAGATGAGTTCAGTAAAGATATCATTATGCACCATTGAAAAACCTTTTATTTGTTTTCCAAGATTCAAGGCTTCTTAGTGGTGCCATATCAAAATCTCAACCAAAACAAAGCAACAGTCTGTTTACCTTTCTTTACGTGTGGTCTACAGAAGCTTTGAACAAAAAATATCACCACAACCCGACATGAGAATTGATTTTGAAAATATTTACAAGCATTCTTGTTCAGAACAATTCTTTATGTTACAGTTGAAGGTCTTTCCTTTCTATCATGAACTATTGGGGATTGTATCGTATAGATTGAGTGAATTTATGAGAATTGTCTTTTTTGGCCATTCAGCCCTCAAACCTGAAATCATTAGTGTTCTGGAGAAGCATCGTGACGAAGAGCTGACAGAACGAAAAGAAAAGAGAAAGAAACAGGCAGAGGAAGACGCCAAGAAGAAGGTAGAGGATGAGGCCAAGAAGAAAGCTGAAGAAGAATTGAAGAAGGCTGCAGAGGAAGCTAGGAAAGCAACAGAAGCAAAGGCTGGGGTTGCAAAGTCAGAGGAGGAAAGCAAAGAGAAGGAAGAAAATATGGAGGTATGTCTGCAAAATTGTAAATTATGACATTCCTGCTGATAAGTAAATTGGCAATTTTGTTTCAACTTCATCTTAAGTTTCTAACTTATTCAATATTTGATATTGAAGCTACCATGAAACTTTTAACCTTATTGATATGCTGGATGCTTTGTTATCATAATTAATCTCCAAAAAGAGCAGATTGCTGTTTTTTATGTTTTTGAGAGATGGACGAAAGGTCTCCTTGAGTTTGCATATTTTGAAAAATGTTGTTTCTGAAATAGTATTAAAGATTGTTGTTTTCTTTTAGTAATATGAAAAAATGAATTGAAATTGAACTGTTTGTTACTATTTGCTTGAAACACTAAATGAAGAAATCATAAATAAATTAATCATGTTTTTTGTAGGTTGGTGAAAGCAGTGATCAGCCCAAGGAAGCAGAAACGGCTACAAATCTATCAACAACAGCTCCTTCACAGCCACCCAGATCAGGGATAGGTAAGATAGTCTTCATACACAATAAGATTTTCTTTCACTTTGTGATCCATTTAAAACATGTTGTTTGTACTGTGGAAGTGCATTCTGTAACTTATTGTCAGGTCCCTTTTTATTTTAAAGCTCAAACTGTGTTTTTTTTTTATATATTATATATATATTTGTATATGTTAACTAAGGATTATCCCTCCCTCCTTTTCAAAGTGCTTGGAAGTACAACGCCTTAATACTAGGAAACCAAACAAGTGTCAGTTACGGCAAGAACGCAATTGGGAAACAAATCAATATCATTTCAACTTTAAATTATAAATCCAAGTATAATGATGAGTACAGTAAAGATATCACTGTGCACCATTGAAAAACCTTTTATTTGTTTTCCAAGATTCAAGGCTTCTTAGTGGTGCCATATCAAAATCTCAACCAAAACAAAGCAACAGTCTGTTTACCTTTCTTTACGTGTGGTCTACAGAAGCTAAGTTTTGAACAAATAATATCACCACAACTCGACAAAAGAATGTTTACAAGCATTCTTGTTTAGAACGATTCTTTATGTCACAGTTGAAGGTCTTTCACTTTGTTATCCATTTGAGACATGTTGTTTGTATTGTGAATGTGCATTCTGTAACTCATTGTGAGGCCCCCATTTATTCCGAAGCTCAAATTGACATTTTTCTAATTTAGTAGTCATTTGGAAGAAATCTGGTGTAACTCTGCAACTTTCAATTTGCATTTTTCTGCTGCATCTAGCTCCTGCTTTCTTACCTACAGTGTATTTCCAATGCAATATATGTTTTAATATTTTTTAGGGTGTTGCAATAAACAGAGAATTCCAGTGAACCCCTCTCTCTTTTCTTCCTTCGTCCTCTCTGGCCTCTTCTTCTTCCACTTAAACACATCCCTTTTTAGTTTGAATATATGTAATAAACTGAAAATCATAATTGCATTTGCCACAGATATGGGTCAACTTGTCGCAAGTGTTGCCGAGTCCGCCCTTGGCAGTGCCATCTCTTCTGCCCTATCGGCAGCAGCTCTAACCAACACCATTACAACATCCACTACAACTGCTGTCACCACTACCGCTGCTTCAGACATGGCTGCCACTCCAACTGACACTGCCCTGTCAGTGGCCGCATCCTCTCTTTTAAGTAGCATGGAATCAAGGTATTACAGAGGTTTTATTGCTATTCATTCCCTCTCCAGAGATGGTAGAGACAGCATTTTGCTGCATTGGTACTCCCATTTTATGTTATAAAGCCCCACTGTCCTACTTGTAGCTACTTGCTCCCTCTATATAGAAAACCTCCCCAATTGGTGCCTGTTGGTCCCCCATGATCATCTTTTTCTTATGTTATGCTACGGTCACAAAGGTTCGTACAAACGATAATTTGGTACGAATCTCCCTGTTTTTCCATTGTCTAAAAATCGTTCGTACGGCGTTCGTAGCAGTTCGTAATGGCATTTGTGACCAAGGCTTTAGTTGAGAGCTGAGTTAATGAGATAGCCACCTGTCAGTGACCTTGCTGTGTGGTCTAATCCCTTCTGGCCCAGTAGCATTGATGGTCTTTAAAAAAAAATTAAAACAGTTCAATTTATATGACAATGTGTTATGCAAGGACAATTGAAAATGGAGTGCTGTTGGTATCACAAGTTTCCATTAGGGAACTCTGCTAGGAATATCAAAGTGCAATCATCATCATGTCATATTCAGCTTGAAGGACATCACTATGCACCATTGAAAAACCTTCTGTCTGTTTTGCAAGATTCAAGGCTTCTTAGTGGTGCCATATCAAATCTCAACCAAAACAAAGCAACAGTCTGTTTACCATTCTTTACGTGTGGTCTACAGAAGCTAAGTTTTGGATATATATGTATATATATATCTTTTGTTTAAGGCCAGAAGGGCATTAACTCTTTGCAAAATGAAATGCCCCTCTTGCTCCAAGCAGACGATATATTTACAATTTATTGAGTAATTTATGTAGAATAGGACTCGTAGTAATTATGAAACCCAGGTTTAGAATCACATTAGGTTGTATTGGATCTGTTCATTGTGTTACTGGTCTGCATATGTAGAAGTGCATTTTACTTAATAGCTCCGTTTCTTCATTTTGTTTTTTCTTCTTATTTGATCATATAGATCTTCAGCACCACTTCAACCTGGACTGACACGTGTGCCACAGCTCGTAACAGTGACGGCAAACTCACCAACCCCAACTTCAACGGTATCAGGTACGATTGTCATGCCTGTGTATACATGTGCTCTAATTCTTTATGTGCTTGCATAACCATAGCAGATGTATGTATGTCCATCATTTATCATACTGCTTGGCTTGACATGTTAACTAATATAGGTTTCCCGATAGAACATCAAGATCATTCAGTCAAGTACCAGATTTTGAGAAGGAGGTTCAGAGCCGTTAGCAGAGCTTAATACATGATATTAACCTAAAATAACTTTACTCATGAGTTTACTAGTATATACCCTTCATTTGAGTTTTTCAGGAAATAATTCTGCAGATCAATAAATTCAGTATACATAATTCTTTGCAAACTGTTAAATTATAAATGCTGTCATCTGTATGCCCCTATTGAAAAGGGGAAAGCATATCATGATGTAAGTCTGTGACACATTATTTGTAACAACTTATTGCAAGATTGAATTGATGAAATAATGATAAATGCTCTGAAGGAGCAAACTATAATCTGTCATATCATGTGCACTCTTCACTCACATCCTAGCCTCCCAGCCATGGGGTCTATTCCCCCAATTAATACCGGCAACTCATCCATCATCAGGTGATGCCACTCAATCCAATGCAACCACTACTACCACTATCACCACCACTTCCACCAACATCACCGCTGCTGCCACAGCCACACTAACCACCATGTCCACCATCGCTGCAACCCCTACCATGGCTTCAGCATTGTCAGCCATTGCATCATCATCATCATCCTCATCCCTTTTATCATCAGCCCAAGCCCCTCCTTGGCAGACCTCCAGGCCAACCACCTCCATCTTTGCTTCACTCATCGAATCAGACATGATGGAAGTACCCTTACGTAAGACATTTCTCTCCTTCATGCCATTTGAATGATTAACCCATTAGCAACTAGGGATTTTGTAAAAATGGCCTATTACTCACTGGAAGATGTTGTAATATTGCTCTCACTTTGACATCGTTCTGAACAATATGAAACATGCGCCATTTTTCTATGCAGAATCTTATTGTAGACGTAGTAAGGATTGCGCACGGATAACACATTCATGGTAGACCCCATAGAGGGATACAACAGCGCGTTGAAAACGGATGGGCGGTTCAGTGTGTAAAAGGAGGGTCTTTTTCGGGCGGTTTAGTTGCTAAAGGGTTCACCCCTTCTGTGGTCACATTTTTATGATCAGTTATTAACAATGATTTCACTATTCGAATCTTTGTTATTTAATTTGACAAAAAATAAGATGAAGGTACATGTATCTATTTCAAGGAGAAAAAATTACTAGCCAAACTTGATAAAATTCACATTATGGCAGGAGAAATCCATAGCATAGAAATCAAATGTTAAATGTATAATTACATTGTGTGATACTACTTAACCGAACATGAATGATTGTAATTTCATAATTTTTGTGTTCTGATGCTAGCTAGAAGTAAAAGGGTTCAGTTGTTAATTGTTATGTTCTTCTGGCTAAATGAAAATCACAATTTTCTCTCCCTTTCAGCATCTGTGCCAAATCCACAAGGTTCATCAAGTCCAATTGTTAGCAGTAGCATCACAATGTAAGTCGCATTTATTCCCCAACTATTCTTATTTCCCATGGCACTGTTTGAGCAGACCCACTACCTGATTGACACCATAGGTAGGGGGCTTGTATGATGTGCTAGAGTAAATGGTATGTTTCATTACGCTCAAACCTCACACTGCCCTCTGTGGTGGAGTGGTGGCTACGAGACGTGCCCACATTTCAAGTATATCCCAAATCAAATTACTTCAAATTGAAGAAAAGAAATCTATTTTCATTTCCTGGGGGGTGTTTCACAAAGATTACAAGTCAAACTTAGCTCTAAGTTGGACTTAAATATTATGGAGAGCCATCTGTAGCCTTATAATGAAATATATTCAAAAGCAAAAATCAAGTATCTTAGTAAATTCCTCATCAAGAACATGAAATCTTCCATGATAATAGAAAATATGAATAATTTGAATCAACATTTTATGCCTTTTAACATAACTTTTACATAAGATTTTCATAGATGACAATGGCTTTCCATAATTGTTAAATCCAACTTAGAGATAAGTTCAACTTAGGATCTTTGTGAAACACTCCCCTGGTTGTTTGTTCAAATAAGTACCCTGTGCTCATTGATACATCATGTATGTCATGTGATGAAGTGGTCCATTCACTTTCAATCAAGAGGTTTAGGCTTCATATCTCAGCCCAGCACATATGTACTTTGGCAAGACATAAATCTAAATTTGTCACTCTTTACTGAGGTGGAAATGGGTACCTGATATGCCAGAACACTTCATATTGGTCTGTGCAGCTACTGCAGTGGCTATGGTATTGGAGCACCAGGAGCATGACAGCAATATTGACATGAGTGATATACAACATGCCACTTGGATTGCGCATTATTGTGCAGAAACCATGTCAATAATAATCCTTGTAGTTCTCCGTGTCCAGCTTTTTGCGAGTAGGCTAGAAAAGAAACCTCATGCAAGCTACAGCTCATAAACATGTATATTTGATATCAGACCTTTGTAAGAAAACATGCCCATATGTAATTTTAATTTTATAGGTTTTTCTCATTGCAAATCATTTCATACAGCATATATTTTAATACATACAAGACATACATACATTCTTAAATCATCAATTTTTAAAAATCTTTTCTCAGGTCTGCTACATCAGCTAACAGACCCGATCACACAGAGACACCTGGGAACATATCTGGTAAGAATATATTTTTCATTTTGTTATGTAACACTTTCCTGATGAAAACCATCAATCACTGTATTGTGCTGAGTTCCAGTCATTTGAGAATTTGTAATTTTGTGCATACTTTTAAATTTCCACAGCCTATGGCAGATAAATCAATTTATTAGATATTCAAATTTTATCTGTTTTGATAGTTTTCTCCAAACAGTTACCCTCCCCCCAAGATAAACAGAGAAATGTGCATGATCCATCGAATGTGAGAAAAATATATTTTATTTTGTAACAGATTAATGTTACTGATTGCTTTCAACAATTATGAAAACATGATTGGAAATCATTTTAACGCTTTCTATGGTGGACATGTACCAAATAATCTTAAATTATTTTTGGTTTGTGTCCCACTGGTGAGAAAATTAAGCAAACAAATTTGTTTATGTTTACAGTTTGCCCAATCTTTATCATTTGAGTCCATATTTTACCTCTTCATCAATTCCAGGGGTCAGTGGTCTACCAGAGGGTGTAGATCCATCGTTCCTTGCTGCTCTACCAGAGAACATCAGGCAAGAAGTCCTCCAGGAACACCTGGGTATACGCAATGCCCCTCATCAGGCTGCCACACAAGCAGCATCTACCCCTCCATCAGCTCCAGGCGAACCTGCAATTTCACTTAGTCAGGTGAACCCCGAGTTCTTAGCTGCTCTGCCACCACATATACAAGAAGAGGTAAGACTTATCTTTAATTTTTTTGTTTCTGATGAGGTTCTTTTCACCGTTGCCCTTTATTACATTTGTTGACAATAGATATCATACATAGAGAATAATAATTGTGATTGTGGTATTGACAATATATTAATGTCAATGATGATGGTGCTTGAAGTAGTTGACATAGTTTAAGTGAAGCAGATGTTATAGAGCGTGAATAACTTCAAGAGAAATTTCCTTTTGAAGCAGTTGTTAGTATAAACAAAGTACAGAGACAGAGACAATCAAATGATTGTATAAAGTGGAGAGGAAGGGCCACTTTTTCTATTACATTTGTTCAGTAATTACATGCGTTGAACTATGTGAAGTTAGCATTGCAAAACATTCAACCACATCACTTTCAAGTGGAAATATAACTGAACTGTTAACTTTTCTTGATAGGTACTTGCACAAGAACGAGCTGAACAGCAACGTCACACCCTGGCTGCCCAGAGTAGCACATCCGCTCCTGTTGTACCCGCTGAACCAGTGGACCCTGCAGCCTTCATCCAGAACCTGCCCCCTGGACTCCGTCAGACAGTCCTTGCCGACATGGACGATAGTGTGCTTGCAGTTCTTCCTGCTGACATCGCTGCTGAAGCCCAGGCTCTCCGACTGGACCGCGTCCTGAGACATCGTCAGCTCATGCAGGATCGACTGCTGAGGGAGACTGGTATGCTGAGTGCTATCCTCCGCTATTCAGGTGCTTTACAGGGTAGCGGACTAGTAGGTTGTCCCATCAAGCTACCATGGTGGGACACAAGTCCATCCTGATATTACATTCCCAACCGACACCAACCTAAAAACTGCATGAGACCAGTCATTAGGGGTCATGATTGAGGGAATTGATATCCAGGGTTGCCTGATGAAGCAGCACCAAATACGCATTCATTTGAGGAATATTTGCATTCGTTATCTTTTGATTTATGATTTTATTTGAACTAAATATAACAATTGCTTTAGAAATACATGTGCGATTTAAAAAATTGACTGTTGGAGTTATATGTAAACTATAGTATCTTATAAAGTGAATTTTCTTCTTCTTGACACAGGTTTGCAAGGTCGATTGGGGCATGGAATGAACTACTATCGTTTGTCTGTACCCCGTCAAACAGGCCAGTCATGGGGTTGGGGAGGTAGTGGTTCCAATCGAGGCGGCAGTCACTCCAGACAGCAAGGAGTGTTTAGTTCAATCACTCAGAACCAGGGCAGACAGCTGGTGGACCTTGAGGCTCTGACCTGCCTTCTGGTACTCCTATTTGTCAATGAACCCAAGCTTAATCTGGTACGTCTGCTACGAGTGCTTCGTAACCTGAGCTTCCATCAGCCTACAAGGCAGTGGATCCTTCAGGCTTTACTCAGCATCATGGAGCGCACCAAGGCCTGTAAGACACAAGGTGATGGCAAGGTAGCAAGTGCCGAAGCAGATATGATGCCCCTGCAGAAGATGGACTCTGGTTCAGGAAAGGCTTATCAGCAGCCTTCCTGGCTCTCAATCAGCATGGACGCTGCCTTAGGATGCCGTGCTAGTGTCTTCAAGGTGCAAAGGTCCAGCAAAAAGAGCTCTGACAAGCAAGGTTCTCTAGTTTGCATACACCCGCAAGTAGCACCAATGGTGTGCAGACATGTCATGGACGCTCTCCTTGCTCTAGCCAAGGAGTTTCCATACCAATTTATTCCCATAGCGAGCAAGAAAGACTCTCTCAAAGACTTCTCAGGGATTCCTGGTTTATCAAATATGAGTAGTAGTGCCTCTAGCAACAATGAACGTAAGTCAACGCTCACTTCCAGTCAAGAAATGGGTGAGGAAGCAAAGACAAGTGCAAGTCAGGGTGATTCCAAAGCTAGTAACAAAATAGAATTGGACTTCTGGGACCTTCTGGTACGACTGGACAACACCAGTCAGGGCAGGAAAGGCAAAGTGACATCCCGGCCTTCAACGGTTCCTGCAGCAAAGGAAGGCCAGGACCCAGATACTAGTAATTCAGCTCTTTCCAAACTGATGGCTATGCTGTCGCACCCTGTGGTGAAGCGTAGTACAGCTCTCACTGACAAGCTCCTACATCTGCTGTCCATGGTAACCAGCTCCTTACCAGATGGAGACAAGGATAAGATCAGCAGTCTGCAGGTGAGTTACAGTTCATCTAATACACTTTCAGTTCAGGAAAACGTGGTGGACGTAATACCCTATCTTGTTTTATATAGAAAACCTGATACAGTTAAAGTTACATATTGTATTTTTGTAGTACATCATTACAATGCTTGTTAATGCCGTATTCTTGCCCACATCTTAAGCAGATTTCGTGAATTATAGGAGAAATGCTTTCTTTGTACCCACCGACAGCGACAGTAAAGTAGAGTCTCTTGTAGAATCAAATAGTGCAATTATTTTTTGGGACATACAATGAAACTTCTGTTTTTCTTTGATTAACATCCAATATTTCTCTTCTTTTGCAGTCTGGTGTCATACGGAGACCAAACTCATACCTGTCAGATGCGGTCAGAAGCTCATCAAATCGATCCTCGTCTATCTTGGCTGTAGCAGCGCCCTCTTGTGGTGACCAGTCAAGCAGAGGACAAGCCGCCAGTGAGGACACCAGTAGTTCAGCCATCACTCCTCCTGTAGGTAGTCCCATGGATACTGCCTCACAAGGTAGGTTTACCTCGCTACAAGTTGTAAGATTTACAGGTTCAAAAATGTCCGACCCATTGTATGAAAGGCACATTTTTGTTGTTTTCTTCGATAAATAACTCCATAGCATTCAAAAATCTTTAACCTGTCAGTATATAAGTCAATGAGTAATTATTTGACTACTCGTATCAAATATCTTTGAAAGATGATGACAGCAGGAGCTGAAATGTCTGATTTAGTGTTAAAATGTTTTGAGAGGTAGCTAAATGCTTAATTCTTACAAGACTAGATGCAGAATAGTATTTCTTTTTGGGAGCACAACTGACAGAGAAATGAAGCTGCAATGATATACCTTTTATGATGTTCTTAAATTTACAGAGCTTCCAAGTACACAGAGTGTCAATGAGGAAGAGTCATCAAGCAGTAAGACAGAACCTCCGGTCCCTGAGAAGACATTGGTAGATGAAAACCTCCTCCAGTTAGCTGTTGAGGTATGTTTCTTTCCGCTCTATACTCGCAGTCAATACTACAGTCTTTCTAAAATACCCTTGTGCTTATGCCAAACATGGGGGGTTTCAGAAAACGATGCCAAGGATAAATTTTCTCTGAAAGCACTTCAATTTCCAAATCTGCTTTATCCCCCCCCCCCCCCCCCCCTCCCCCGTGAAATCATGCACCTTGGATGCTGCAAGACACTTACTTTGGACCAAGTGTAACCATTTCCTATCAAACGTCTTGGTTTTTCTGATGTATCCGGGATGTGACTTGTATTCATCCAAACCAAAAATATGTTATCCATATAATCAAGTTTAGAGAAACAATATTAGTACAATCTTTATTAGTTTGGAAGCAAGTTTTGTTCACCAAAAAAATTTCAAAATGATGTGAACATCCCTCACTTGTTTTTATCACCTGTTACTTAGGTGTTGACAGCACATACCTGTTCAGAAGATGGTCTTGAGGATGCTACCACAATGTTGATGCAGTTATCTAGGGGTCACTCTACCACTAGGGAAGCTGTCCTGAGACTCTTACTCCGAGGAGCACAAGAACTTGGCCAGACGCTCTGCAGGTAAGAAAGATCTTTAGTAATGCGGTTATCATGACTTTTGTTGTTGGTTTCATTTTTGCTGATGTGCATCGGAAGTTAAACAACATAACAACGTTAGTTATTTGAACCCCATTTAGGCCATTGCTAAAAATCTATATGTTACATGGTGATCATATTTTCTACTTGGTGTTAAATAGGACTAATTGATATCATCATTGTTCTTACAAACCACAGAGATATTTTGAAGCTCCATCGTGAGGTCCAGGATTACCGAGCAAGACAGCTCCAGACAGACACATCCCCCGAAGATCCAGACGATAGCAATACCAACTCGGCCTCTGGTACCTCCTCGACTGTCTCAGCCCTTCAGGGCTACATCACAGATCGCTACAGCCCCAGCACAAGTATTGTTATCAATGCCCCTACCACAGGCGCCAAGAGAACCGGCTTTGAGCTTCGGTTGCAATCCATGGGACTCTTTACGGGCAAGACTTCAAACCAGAACTTCCTGCTGAGGATGCTCAAGGTCATCATCCAGCTGCGAGAGGTCGCCAAGAAGGCTAAGCGGGTTGCTGATATTCAGAGATGTAAGTAGCGATAGCGTAGGCAAGCCATGTGTTCTCAATAGATACCTATCCTGAATTATTATTGAACCATCAACTTTTAAAGACTATTGCGAGACATTTTTATGGTTATTACCCCTTACATGGTCAACTAAACTAATGTTTATGTTATCCCATTGAAATGTTAATCTTGATACATGGGGTTCAAAGAAATGTTGGCAAACCTGCACAGGACGGCTTTGTAAAAATGATACCGTGATTTCTGTCCTGTCTGACTTCTTATTGCTGTATTTAGGGGGGAGGTATAACAAATGACAGGGCATATAGCAATTATAAGACAATTTTACTTGATTTCTAGAGTACTTGCTTCACTAGAATGAATTTGTACTTTTCTAACAGTGGGTGGTCCTAACATTGCTGCTGCTGTAGCTGCCCTGGAAACCAATGCTACAGAGCTGATGCAGATGATGAGTAGACGCAGCACAGTCCCAGCGAGTAGCAGACAGACTGACAGACAGAACAGCCAGACATCACAAGGGGTGAGTTCATCTCATCTCTTCTCTTCTCTCCTCTTCTCTCTCTCTCTCTCTCTCTCTCTCTCTCTCTCTCTCTCTCTTTCTCTCATTCTCGTACTTGGCCTGAGGAAGAGTTGGTCCTTGTCATGGAATTTTGCAGTATTAGATGTAAACAGCAATTTTTTTTAAAATCCTGTAATGAAGAATAATAGTCTTTGATATCTCAAACATTTTATTTATAAAGATGAAATGTGTTTGTGAGGAAAAAGTGTCAACTATGTTATTTATAATGTTAAATAGATGAAATGATTAGCGCCAGTAATTGGAGTGAAGAATAAATACAAATGCCATTTTTCCATTTTAATGACATAACTTATTCCATTCGGATTAATCTATCTGGCACAATAGGCATCTGGTGCAGAGACAAGCTCAGCTGCTAGCACGCCATCAGGCACAGCCAACACCACACCAGTCACGGAACAGCCACCACCTGTCGCCTCATCCACAGTCACTGACACTGGAGAGGTGGTGAATCCTGGACGCACTCCCTCTGCACCTGCAGAAACACCCATGGAGGTAGACTCTGTTGTTCAACTGCCAGAAGGGGTGGGAGCACGACAACTGGAGCGACAAGCATCAACCAGCACCACGTCCAGTCAGAAACATGAGGTAAGATGTTTTTCTGTAAAATAATTGTGAACTTACTTATTCTCATGATTGAACAGGTCCAATAAAGGATGTTTGATGTAGAGGTGTTGTGGTCCAGTAGATAAGTCACAGGACAGTGGATCACATGGTTCACAGTTGGAGTCCCGCCATGCCACTAATGTCCTTGGGTAAGACATTAGTCTACATTTGCCACTCTCCACACAGGTGTTAAACTGGTAACCGATAGGATGCAAACATTAATGTGGTTGGATAGGCATGTGTGAATTTGTAACTACATTCCTTTCTTAGGGTCAATCCAAAACGTGGATATGTTATACAGATACAGACAATCCATTTGTTCTGTCATTAAAGTAAATCATTATACTGTAAATCTTTGCTGAAGATTTCCATCTACCTTTCAAACTGTAAAATTTCCCTTCTTTATTCCTTTATAGATGACAGTTGTGGTAACTTTTGTGTTGTGTTGTGTTGTGTTACATTAAACATGTTCATTCTTAACACCAAATTCATTTTCTACAGGATGATGACGATGGTCCTCAGCTGAGTGACCTCCTAGGCCTGGAGGAGCTGTGGGACACCCTTAGCACATGTCTTACAGAGCTCTCCCTCACACCAGACACCCATGCAGTGCTTGTCCTACAACCTGCTGTAGAGGCCTTTTTCCTCGTCCATGCCTCTGACAAGGATGCCGGCAAGGCATCCGCCGCCGCTGCACCCGAATCCTCTCAACCCTCTGCCTCCTCATCCTCACAGGCCCTTCATAGAGAAGGGCTCACCAGTAGTGCCTCCGACATGGGTCCCATCTCACCCATGCCAAATACTGCAGGATTCTTTGCCAGGGAGAGCTCAGTCACGTCCATCGTTACTCCTAACATGCCGTGTGATATACAGAAGTTCTTAACATTTGCAGGTGAGATATTCATCACATTGACATTATCTTTCTGTGCAAAGCACACAAATTTTTGGAAATACACTGTTTCCCCCCAAAAAAGTTATGAAAACAAAATGCTGAAGTGCTCTGAACAGTTATTATAAGCAATATTGTCTGGCAGAAAAATGGGGATATGTAAAAAAAATATATATACTGTTTAAAATATGTTTAATGCTACTTCAACGGGACTTGTGTGTACCTTTGTGTATTTTAATAGCAATTTATACCATTTCATATTTTGTAGAGAAACATCGCAACGTGCTGAACCAGATCCTTCGCCAATCTACCATCCATCTCTCCGAGGGGCCTTTCTCCGTGCTCGTCAACCACGTACGCATCCTCGACTTCGACGTCAAGAGACGTTACTTCCGTCAGGAGATGGAGCGAGGTGACGAAGGAATGCGGCGAGAAGACATGGCTATCCATGTGAGAAGGGAGCATGTGTTTGAGGACTCGTATCGTGAGTTGCACCGTCGTACCCCGGAGCAGTGGAAGAACCGCTTCTATGTGGTCTTTGAGGGAGAAGAAGGCCAGGATGCTGGAGGACTGCTCAGGGAGTGGTATCTCATTATCTCAAAGTGAGTCCTTTTGTTCATTTTGTTTTGTTATCAATGGGGGGGGGGGGGTGCTCGTTTGAGGCAATGGCCAGAGTTCAAACCCTTAATCCTTCCCATTTTAATTTCTTAGGCTTCATGCTGCACATGCACAGCACGTATGTAGTTTTTTTCAAGTTCGTTTCAACACTGTTTTAATCAATCACATGAGACAATGTCATGTATGGAAACAAGAAGAAATAGTTATTAATGATTCTCATTATCCAAATCATTTATTTGAATCAAAGATTTGCAATACTATTTGATTCTCTTCTTTACAGGGAGATCTTCAACCAGATGTATGCCCTCTTCCGTACCTCACCCGGAGACAGAGTAACCTACATCCCCAACCCATCGTCCCACTGCAACTCCAACCATCTCAGCTACTTCAAGTTTGTGGGCCGCATCATGGCTAAAGCCATCTATGACAACAAGCTTCTGGAGTGCTACTTCTCTCGCTCCTTCTACAAGCATATCCTTGGGAAGCCAGTCAAGTAAGATTCCATTCCTTGCTCTACTTATCTTCCTCTCTAGGAACATTCATGTTGAGATCTATCAGGTTTTTTCTACCTGTTAATTTGTATGCCTCCGCTACAAAGTAGCAGGAGGCATTATGTTTTCAGGTTGTCCTTCCGTACATCACGTTCTGTTGATCGCGTTATCTCAAGAACCAATTGGTGGATTCCCGCCAAACTAGGGTCATGTATGTATCTTGCACAGCAAATGAACTGATCATTTTTTGGAGTCAAAAGCACAAAGGTCATAGGGCTCATTATGTATGCAAAAATAGCTTGTGATCACGTTATTTCAAGAACCAAGCGGTTATGTATGAACTTTCTAGTTACCATACATGGATATACATTTAGAATTTTAGTTCTCAATCTGTTTCCTTGATTAGCACCATTGAAAAACCTTGTGTTCATTCTGATTAACCCATGGCTTCTTGGTGAGTGCAATATAAAATACACAACTAAAGCAAAGCATCAGTCTGTTTACCTTTCTATACGTGTGGTCTACAGAAGCTAAGTTTTGGACATTGGTATTTTCTTCCTAGTTTAACTACGCCACACTGACTCAAAGAACCACATTATGTGGAATTCTTTTTATTTATGTTCTTCTGTTAAAATGGAAAAGGATCAAAATGTTATTTTTGTCCACGCTAAACAACGTGATGGATCGAAAGAAGTGATAGTAGTCAATATCACTCAATTTCATGAAATACAGTACAGGATTTTGATTTGTCTCTTTTAAGTAATGTGATCAGTCATATTAATATGCTGTTAACCTATCAAAATAGACAGGTTGTTAACCCTTTTGATATAAATAACAAAGTGGTGATCAACATTTCTAAATATCTAATCTCATTGTAATCCAATTTATTTCCTCCCCCAGATACACTGACATGGAGAGTGAAGACTATGCTTTCTACCAAGGACTTGTATTCCTGTTGGAGCATGATGTCTCTGAACTTGGTTATGATCTGACCTTCAGTACTGAGGTATGTGTCTGTTTTCTCCTCTAGTCTTATGGTTGCACTCGGGTTGGGTTAGTTTGAGAGTTTGGGTTCGGGTTAGGTGTAATGTATTTTCCAGGGTTGAAATTCCAGGACCCTGTTTCATAAAACTTGATATCAGTAACAAGTTACAAGCTACTGAAATTATGGCATCTGATTGGCTGAGAGCAAATTTGTCATAGAAATTTGTTTTAGATACAAAGTTTTATGAAACGGGCCCCAGGGCAGGCAATCAATTAATGTTGGAAATTGACTCCAAAGCAAATTTTGCGAGAGCATGAGTCACAGAACTGTCTTCATACAACAAACAGAGAAAGTTCATATTTATGTATTATTCCACTGACAGTAGATGGATTTCACAGGGAAGAAATATGGAAAATGGGATTGTGGAGTGATTTACCTCTGGTAAACTAAATGTACATTTAAAAAGAGCTGTGGTGCAAAAACAATAAAATGATACTACATAATAGAACTTATACTAACGATAAAATATAAACTTTCCAGCTTACATAACTCAAGACATTGCTACTGAAGCTTTAGGATTTTGAAATTATGTCATGAATTAATGTTGGATTTAATTATTTGTTATCCTCTTAACAATTATTTTGTGCATGATCAATACAACATTTTGATGTTGACTTTGAATATACTCCTTACAGATTGAAGAGTTTGGAGTGACAGAAGCGAGAGACCTGAAGCCCAACGGCAGCAATCTGATTGTGACCGAGGACAACAAACAGGAGTACGTACACCTTGTATGTCAGATGAAGATGACGTCAGCCATCCGCAAGCAGATCGATAGCTTCCTAGAAGGCTTCTATGACATTATCCCTAAGAAGCTGATTGGTATCTTCAATGAGCAGGAGCTTGAGCTGCTGATTGCTGGGCTGCCTACCATTGATGTGGATGATCTCAAAGCCAACACAGAGTACCACAAGTATCAGAGCAACTCTCTGCAGGTAACTTTGGAATCTTTGTTTTTGTTGGGCTTCTTATCATATTTTCACAGTCTGTGTGGAAACTTCTACCTCTAGGATATTTTATAATTTCCTTTACGATATGAATAAGAGGAAAACAATCTTTAAAAGTGGAATGATAGTAAACATAATACGTTTCTTGGAAGTAATTTTGTTGTTATCATATTGTAAAGCACATTGTTATTTTCTCCAAAGATGAAATGCACTATAGAAGCCAAGGTTATTATTATTATTATTATTAAATGATACATGCTTCCTCCCAACAACTGTGAGGTATGATACTAGGTCACTTATACATTGTGAATAAGAACAAAGATATGTTCTATCAGCTTTACTTCCATCTCATTTATGAAAACTTGGAAACCTAGAAAGCAAGATAGCTCATGTAAAATAGTAAAGACAAAATACATATTACACACAAATTAAATATAAACGATTACTCCCTTCCAACTTCAGATCCAGTGGTTCTGGAGAGCGCTACGCTCCTTTGATCAAGCCACAAGGGCCAAGTTTGTCCAGTTTGTGACTGGAACATCCAAGGTGCCCCTCCAAGGGTTTGCATCACTGGAAGGCATGAACGGACCTCAGAAATTCCAGATCCATCGCGATGACAGGTCTACAGATAGACTGCCAACTGCTCATACATGGTAAGCACTCGGAAGGTTGTATTGTGATGACTATAAAGGTTCGTTCAGATAAGGCACGGTAAACCGCCGCTAAAAAACGCCGCCACAGTTTGTAAAAAAATGTAAATGAATGGCAACTGCATGCAACAAAGGACTTGGGAATATTCACCGAGCTCTGTGTTATAAGATACAGAAATGTGAAGCATACTACATTGCACGCAGACCTGCCAACCAGTACGATTTAGTCGTATTTAGTACCATTTTTAGAAGCAAATACGACAGTACGATTTTCCTCAATAAAATATGATTTTTGTGTGTGTGTGTGCCATTTTCAATGGCAAAATGCCCATTCTGTCCTATAAAGTATCCTACAAGCATCTCACATCGGCAATTTGGGGATGTTCATTGGTTAATCGAACGCACCAATCGTGACAAAATCATGCATATTCAACCAACGATCCTTTAAGAAATTTCTTCCTGTATGTAGGAACTGTAAGAGGCATTGATCCGCGTAACAGTCCGTGTTCATTTTTAAGAATACAACTTTTGTCAGTAAAATACAACTTTTGGGATTAAAGAATACAGTTTTTGAACTCCAGAGGTTGGCAGGTCTGTTTACGCCATCATAACAAATTAAAAAATGCTATGGTTTTGCTGCGTCATGTCTGAGCGAGCCTTACTTGTGAAGATGTAGTTATGACATGTGTCAAAGATATCTGTTTATAAATCAGATGTTCTTTTTATTACGAAGTGTAAAACTTGCTATCAACATCGACAATATCTATTCATGCTTTTAGAAATACGATACCAGCTCAAAATTAACACTGTAACTACTTAAGAAAGATCATTTTACAAAATTAACAATAATAACCAGGGTATTGCTTTATGATGGCCAGGATCCCTTTATATTATTGTTTCCTCATTCACTTTAGCAATGTGAAGAAAATGAGTAGAACTGTATTTCTTTAAGGATCTTGCGATTATTTGTCTTTATACCACAGAATTTTAGCCCAGCAGACAGATACCTTACCAGTATTCAAACATGACATATTCTTATTTCAACCAGAAATACCAATTTAAACTGATTTGTGATATTGCCTTTCAATGTTCTTGATGATGTGACTCTCCTTTTCTTGTACAGCTTCAACCAGTTAGACTTGCCAGCCTATGAGACGTATGACAAGCTTCGTCGAATGCTCCTCTTGGCTATTGAAGAGTGCACTGAAGGATTTGGGCTTGCCTAGAATCCACAGAGATGTTGGATGCTGGAAGACATTTATCTATGACTTTTTTTTCTGATGAAATTATATATATGTAAACATTTTTTTTTCCCAGTGTAAGGAGGAAGAGTTTATGCCAGAGATTACTGTGTTATTAACATTGAATATATATTTGAAGGAAGATTTAAATAAAGTTTTTGGGATTTTTTTTGTTTTTGATAGGGATATTATAAGAGCCACTAGTATGTCCATATATATCTTTCTTAACTTTGAATTTTATACCTTATATACAACATACCATTATATAGGCCGAGGTGGCCATATAGTTCGGTGTATTACAAATGGAAGAATTAATATCATCAATATACTTGCTGTTTAATAGTGGCAGCATCATTTGTACTTAATCTGCATCATAACATGTTGTCCTTGACTGAATTATTGCAAGAGAGCTCTGATACAACTTGACAGTGATGAAAATATTGCATTTTTTTTAGTTAGAAACCCGTTTCATGGTTAAAGTTTGGTGTGTTTGATATGCTATTAACCGAGGCTTTCCACTTGCATATCCATTACAGCCTCTTGTGTTCCATTTTGTTTTTCAAATGTAAGTTTGATAGCTTGTATTACGGTAAAACAGAAATACGAGGAAAGATCCATAACGTGTTGTAGAGGATACCTGTTCATTTATCAATCGTGAGGTATTAACATTCAAATAGTTTACATGTGTTGCTGATTGGTAGTGAGTCAGTGTTGAGAGCTAGCTAGCATCAAGCAGGGTCTAGAGTCTAGGTATCCTTAAAGGTGCTTCCGTTCATCTCATTAAACTTGTTTCATGTGAGATGATGATTAATGCAAGGTATCGACTATGCATTTAAAGTTACAAAAACTTGTTTAAAATATGGACTGGACTGGAAATTAAGAGCTCTCATTTCACTTGGCCAGTTATGTAGGTAATGTATGCGGAAATGAATCTTACCTGTTAGCTGCTGTTTTTTTTCCTAGTATGACAGGTTGTCAAGCTCAATTTTAGTTTACTAAGTCTTAAAAAATCCATGACTTTGACCTGAAATTTCTGAAAACTATAAAATGGGACATGATTACTTTAGAATTTCTTGAGCAGATCTGTTTTAACGAGGTTTTTTAGAGGATGTTAAAAGGCTCATTTTTCAGAAAGAATCAAAATCAAAACCAAAACCAAAACTTGTCTTTATACACTTGCAAAAATCACTAATTAAAAAAAAAACTATTTGCAAGTCTGCATACACTATAAGGATTCCCACTTCAGCTCAAGGCAGCAAAATCAAAAACTGGGGGATTCCATCATCAAAATTACTATTCAACATGTACATACATGTTAACATACATACCAGTCACGTAGACATGTGCGTGACACAGTCCTGATAGATTATGATTGTTATCACCATGAAGGCCAATTAATTTTGTCGGAGGAATTTTATGCTCAAGTAAACAATAAAAGATAAAAGGTGACGTGTACATGTAATTTATTTTTTTCTATCTGAGAAATTATAATGAGATGTTGTCATGACGAAGTAAGAGTATTAAACAAGACATGTTTTAGGCCAGTATAACTGTGTGGTCTTTTTAAAGCACTTCTGTTCAAATAAAGTTGCAAGCTGAGCTCTTGAAATTGCCAGTAATGTGGTTTGATTACTTATATTGCATGTTTTATTTCTCTTTACGACTTTCTTTGACTATGCCATGTTATAAGCAGCATCTAATATCAAGAATTATCTATGACCTGACAGGAAATATATGTAGTTTATGAAATGATAGGTTTTGACAAAGTTGAGGAGGTTTTTTTTCCTATGATGTTCATATTATAAGTTCTGTATACCAGTATTTCTCCATGGGTGTAGTGTTTATCAGTCATACTTATTGTTGAGAACAATTTAGATATGTCTTTGTATAATAGATAATTTGTCAACTATGAATTGTACATTTCTACGAGGAATAGACAAGATAGTGGGTTATTCTGAGATGACTTGAAATACTTGTATTGTTCTTGATATCATATGATTAATGTTTTTGACGGTATAAAAGCTGTGAAGGGCTTGATTTCTTTTTGTTATGTATACAAAAAAGTTTAAATTCTTGCTATAAAATGAGATTAAAAACAATATAGTATTTGATTAACGAACTTAAACTAAGGAATGATATATGCATTTGAAGCAATAACTTTATTGCATCATATCATTATGTTCTCAACATATTTCCTGATGCGATTGTATTATGTGGGGGAACGGTTCAATGTGTTGAATGGATTTATTGTTCTTTGTTCAGGAATTGTGGAAAATATGAGTGTGTGTAAAAAGACAAGGATTGTTTTCACAGACTTGTATTCAAGGGAAACTTGAAAGTAATTGATGAAGATTGTTGGAAGATGTTTTGGGGCCTCTAGCCATCTGTGCAAAAGAAGTTGATGGTCATTGCCAATTAAAAAGATGAATTATTGAGAGAAAAATTAATCTTTGAGTTCAGTGTCTTTCTTTATAATGGTTTGTTTACAAATGTACTGCTGTACCAGAGCTATGTGTTTGTCCGTCTGCTTGTGTTCATAGGATCATATTCATAGAGTCACGCCTGGCTTAACTTTCCCGTTAATTCATTGATTTATGGAGTGCCACTTGTCAAGCAAGCTCTCTCTTTTGGTCTTTAAAACAAAAAGCGTAATTCTGTGACAAGATAAGCAAGATAAATCAAGTCATAAATAACTTATGTAGCAGCAAATAAAGATGACAATGAGAAAATAATGAAATTCTGATAACTTGATGTAATGAGAAGTTGACACCTGGCGCTCCATAAACGGGAGGAATAAAGTAGTCCGCTTTTATGAATACCAACTGCGGGATTTCCTTGGATTATCATCTTCATACCTGTTACGATGTCGAGGCTTGTATTGACCTTCATTTGGAGCCATTGACACACTTTCATTGCAGCAGACCAAGTTAGACTAGTTATCTTGTAATCTGTCGGTACACTGTATCATTATGATGATGGTTCTAGATGTATATAGTGTAATAATCAACAACAAAAACATTTGTATATTAACTGATACAGATTTAAAGCGCAAAGTTGAAGAATAGAGTCATTTCTTGTTTCCAACCATGTAGACGAAAGCTTATCGGTGATGTTATGTTGAAAGATTGTTTGAATGAATGAAATTTTTTGAGTGGCCTCAAAGAAAGTAGATAATGAACCTTCAGATTTGCATACATGATGTTTATGTTTATGTTGGTGTGTTTCTTGAATGAGAGGGTGTATATTATAAACATGTTGATATAAATCACCATAGGTGTCTGAGAGTCGGGGATTCTCTGAAGAGTGCTTTATTTTGTAGGAAGTAGACTACTTAGTAGCATGTTTTACGAGGACACACTCTCTCTCTCTCTCTCTCTCTCTCTCTCTCTCTCTCTCTCTCTCTCGCTCTCTCTCTCTCTCTCTCTCTCTCTCTCTCTCTCTCTCTCTCTCTCTCTTCTATTTATCTGTCACTCTCTCTCTCTCATCTCTCTCCCTCTCTCTAGCCCTCCCCTTCTCTCTTTCCCCCTCTCTCTCTCTCTCTCTCTCTCTCTCTCTTTATGTCTCTCCCTCTCCCTCTCTATTTCTCTCTTAGGTTAAAAATGTGGCACTGCAGCTTTTTAGTGACTGCATATTCTTAAACTTGAGGAGTTAAGAGTAAAAAATCAAGGGGAGATTGAGAAATTAAAGACATAAAACCAGGCATGTGAAACTGGGATGACATATTTTTTTTATCTCACATTAGTACATGTAATATACTTTGAATTTGAGTTTTAAATCACTTTTCATTAAGTATTCACCTAACAAAATCTACTCTAAACACTTTAAAATACCGCTGGCATCCCCCTACATACAAGTACAAGTAAATTTATGGAGCTATATGGCTTCTGAGCTGTGCCTGGTAAATGTAGCCGATTCAACACGTACAGCTACAGCTAGCTAGCTATAGCTAGATACAGATCATTTGACGAACTCTGCGACTACTTGTCACGTGACCAAGTAACCCTTCAGAAAGATGGCGACCAGCAGCAGTGAATTCCCTGCTTCTTATTCGGCTGGGCAATTTGCGAGTGAAAGTCCCAGCTGTGACAATGGCCACTCGGATTATTTCAACATGGGGGACAGAACGAAAACAGAGCAGGTAAGCCTCTCACTTTCTTTTCGTTTCACTTGTTTTTATGTCTTGTTTAGTAGTTGTTGAAGCAGGTGTCGGTTCCGTTTTTCATTCCATTCTGTGTAGCTGTGAGTGACCCGAGTGACTGTGAGTGTGATGTGAGTGACTGAGCTGTGCGATCATCATCATCACGATCCCGGGCCCTCACGGCCACGGCCCGGCTCGGTATTGAAGCCCTTTCCGGACCGGGTGAGCCGATGCCAGCTGACTTAATTATGCTGGCGTTTGTCCCGGAATGGATGTTTTTTTTGTTGAGTCAGACTAGTTTTATGGGCAGTGTTATTGTCTAGAGACTAGATTTGAAATCTTGTCTTGGAACCGTCCCGTTAAATTTTAACTTTTCATATTTTAATTGAAACGGGATCCCGAATCGTCGATGCTCACCCGTGCCCGAAACTCGAAAGAGCATTAGAGCACTGGCTTGGCGCCGTGAGTAAAAGTGTCAGCGCTAGTTTAGAATCATATCCAGACTTTGACCCGTGACCGATCTGGCATGGAGATACCCTACTAAAACATACCAATTATTATTATCAAGTAAATATTCATCAAATGTCCAAATAATGGTCATGATTTAAAAGTTGTTAAATTATGTTTCTTACCTGTTTTGTTTCAATTTTCTTTAGGTGTCATGGCAAACCGCTGCACAATACAAGTGCATACCGGTGATGGGTTGCGGGCGGGCGCGCGCCTGTGTGAAGCTATCTACCGTAATGGGGATCTGAGACCAAAGATAAACTTCACACAGGCGTGCGCCCGCCCGCAACCCACCACCATCGGTATGCACTTGTATTGTTCAGCGATTTGCAGTGAAATCTGTTAAAAAGTGTATACTAATATCAATGTTTTTTCTGAAAAATTCTCCCCCAAAAAGAAGAAAATTGACACAAAACAGGTAAGAAACATTTAACAACAAGTCAACATTAAATCATTACCATTATTTGCACATTTGATGAATATTTACTTGATATTTGGTATGTTTAAGTAGGGTATCTCTACGCCAGAGTTACAGGTCAAAGTCTGGATATGATTCTGAACTAGTGCCAAAGTGTCTTCTAGCTCAATCATACACAGGGTGTCGACTCACTCACCACTCTGAAACTAGAACCAAACTAGCTGCCAATGTCAGGGTTTCTGTCTGTCATCCTTAATTGTAAAAACAACCATTATTTGTGACAAGTTCACATGCACAAATCGGCGCCTTCAACTGCACCTCGCAGCAAAATAAAGGTCCTTCCCCGCCTGGGCTGGACAATTTCAAAGAAATAAAAATATGTAAAATCATTTTGTATTTTTCTTTTGACTAAAACCAAACCAATCTTTGTTAATTTAATTTTTAAACGCCTTAAAATAAACTTGCATTGCTAGATTTATCGACTAGCTTTCTGCCTCGTTTTCGCTCGACTGAGCCACAGAACAGTAAAAGACGCTATAGACAGGTTTAACTGTACTTGTAACAGGTGAATGAAATCATTTATAACAAGGCACTTAAAGATTTTTGCATTCAATTTGAATTACATTACGAAAATGACCAATTAACAGGCAAGTGACCAGAAGTTAACATACCAGTAGTGAGTGTGTCACTGATCATTTACACAATTAAAAATTGCATGTCTGAAAAACTTGATACATTCATGTACACAGAAAAATTCTTTGAACATGATCACATCAGATGAACACAGCATGACCATGATGCCATTTCCTGAGTTTTAAAAAAATATTTATAATGAATTACCAAAAGGCAGTGGGACGAGGTTCCCAGTACTTGTGATGGGTATTTCATTTATCGATTCATGTAAATTATCATTAGCTTGAATGGGGCCCAGTGACACCATATACATGTATACATGTAGTGAAAGGTTCTCTTGCAGTGACTTGTAGGTCATTTACTAATTGTGCAAAATAAAAAGGGCCATCACAAGAAACATAAAATAGGAAACTCAAGACCTAACTTATTGTTTTAATCCACCTGTACAAGCCTTGAAATAAGCCGGCCCAGGGCGCAAATTTGCACTCAAAAAGTCACCAATTGCGCCCGTAATTCATCTAAAACTAGACGGCAAGGCGCAATTGTATGACGTCAAAATGCAACACTAGATGGCGCTTCTGCACATATACAGAAATCTAATTGCCCTTTTCGCCCACAAGTGCTCCCGATTCATTTGCATTGACTCTTGATTAGCCAAATGGCTTGAAGGATTTTAAAAATAAATAAATAAATACCATATATGAGGGAGATACTCTTTTCACCTTCCTTCCTTCCTTTCTCCATTGAGGGGGGGGGGGGGGGGGGGATGGGGGCACAGTGAAAGACTGACAGAAGCGAAGCATCAGGCTTGCGCAGACAATATGCATTGTCAAATGGAAAAATAAACTGGCATTTGTATAGTCATTACAGATCTATCGAGGTTTGTTTGTTGGTCTAATTTATCATATCATCTCAAATAGACTCTCAATAACCTACGATGTTCTTGATCGTTCATGCTTTCATTTTGCTAGCAGCCGATCTAACGTTGTTTTGTCAAAAATCTAGCCGGCGAGCTTCCCACCGCGAACCTTTCGAGTCCCGGTAATTTTGCGTGCAGCAGATCTAGTAGCAGTAATCTCACTGGCAAACTGCCAGCCCATTAGCTTCCCACCATAGACCGTTTGTGTTTGCTGAGAGTGTGGCGGAAGGTTTGTGAACATTGATCATATTCGCATTATGAAATTAACATTGTTTTTTTAAACTTACCGTAAATAACTTGTGTAATTAGTTGTCATTATCTGTTTTTGGAAAATTGCCCCTGGTTCTTCAGAAATTGCCCCTTGTTCTGGTTAAATCCCCATACATGTAGGCAAGGGGCAGCTTTTAAAAATAAATTGACCCTTGGTCCTATTCATTTACAGATTTTCAAAAATGTCCAAAATCATATTCCTAGGAAATCAATATGCATGCAAATGACTCGGTACACCCTGGAAGTGGAAAACTCCCCATCTATAAGTAGTAACTTCAGGCACATAGATGACCTTTAGGGTTGCAGCCGTACCTATCATAACATTAGACAAATGACACTGCCCCCTACCCTTTTGTTGTTCTACAAATTGAACCCCCCCCCCCCACCCACTTCCCCTCATATAATGGACCCAGTCAAATCCGATAGGATCCACATAGCATCAAGATTTACAGTTCCAGGCTACAACAGGAATTCAGGCATCATGAAGTCCTTGAGGAAAAGCTCTTGGTTCCTGTTCCTTGATGACAAGGAAGATGTCTAGTGTCTTGATATGGCTGTACAGGTCAATGTGGGACTTGCAGAGCTTTACCCCACTTTCAGATCCAATCATCACTGTCAGTTGATCACTGGTCAGTGCGGTCAACTGACTTCAAGTGAAAAGCTCTTGGTTCCTGTTCCTTCATGATAAGGATTAGTGCTGTAGTCAAACGTTTAACCGTCCGGTATCCGACCGGTATCCGACCGTCCATGGCACTATCTGTTTTCAATTGGACGGTTTCGTTTTCCTGTGTTTTTTAATTAAAAAATAAAAATTTAAAAAATAATAATGTACATAATTAGAAACAAAATCACTGAACAAAAACAAGTTTGGGCGACATTTTAGTCATCATAAGTCAGCCCTGACTGTTGAATTGCAGAGCAACAATCTACACAATAACAATCAATTGCAAGATTGTAGATTGAGAAGTTGACTCGTAAAACTAGTTCCCAGGCCAGCCTTGAAATACATACACAATACTTCACTGGTGCCATTTAAATCCCAAATCCTGACCTCTGCAATATCACGATCGTGAGCTATATACATGAATACACGTGCGTACTAGATTCATTAGCTTCATAAACAAAGTGAACCCAGTCATTGTTCCAAAGCATGCCCAACAGTAAAGTCTCCGCTTTTGTTCAATGATTTTGTTTCTAATTATTTATTTTTTTTTTCAATTTCAAAGACTTTATTTTCTGCAATCAAACAAATCAGTTATACAACAAATATGGATAATTATATAAAACATAAGGTATGCAAACAATATACAAAATATAGAAACAAATATATAATACATGAGTAAGAGTAAATCTATACGTTGGGCCATTGCGTGTATAAAGAAAGACAGCAGAAGGTCGCCGTTATAAGCAAAAGCTTGAGCAGACGGTCAACCGAGCTAAGATAATATACATTATTTGTTAATAATGTGATTTCTTTTGATTTTCCAATTAATAACACAAATTATAAAAAAAATTAGATTTTTTTTTTTTTTTAAACGTTTAACCGAAAACCGTCTGGTTTTGACTGGCGGTTAAACGGAATTTGAGATATCCGTGATGTTACAACACTAATAGGTATGATGTCTAGTGTCTTGATATGGCTGTACAGGTCAATGTGGGACTTGCAAAGCTTTTCCACACTTTCTGATCTAAGCATGATGGTCAGTGCGTTCAACTGCATTCACAGTCTTTCTTGCAATAACTTTTTTGCAATAACTACATGTATATAGACAAGTGTCTATGTCTCTTAGAAGATGCACCTCTCTTTATTTTGTCCTTTTGTCTGTGTAGCATGTTTTGGGTATATCGATCTCATAATGGTTGTCAAAATATACCTCATAGGATTACTGGTAGTACTGTACATGTACATATAAGTTGACTTAGAACCGACTATTCTTTGAAGTTTACCAATGTTAGAATTGGAATCAAGGTATGATTTTGTTGACCAGTATACTGTACATGGACATGTTGATCAGGAGAAGCAGAGATACCTGGGGTAATAGTATTGAGAAACAAAAAATACATAATACCTTTATGCAAATAATATTTCTACAAATATTCCTAAAAGAGGCTTTGGTGAAGAAGAAGGAAAAGTTAGCCAGCAAATACAAGAAAGCATGTGAATGTATGACTAATATTTTGTGCATATTATTGTGGTCCATACAAAATTCCATTGTACATGTACAGTGTATGCAACAGTAATTTTTTTTTTTT